TTCTAGGCTCTGCAATACAGCAGTGAACAAAACAAACAGAGTCCCTATTTTCATGGAGCTTGCATACTAGTGAGAGATATGGACAAAAATAGGCAAATAGATAACAATATATTATCAGGTAAATGCTCCGAAGGTAAACAAAGCAGAATGAGATGATCAAGAATGACAGAGGCACAGTTCACATAAGATCAGGGATAGTCTTTCTGTAGAGGTAACATTTGAATAGAGGTCTGAATGAAGTAAAGTGAGCCATGTTGATATCTGGAACAAGAGCATTCCTATTAGTGGGAATCATGTGTGCAAAGGCCCTGAGGTAGGAATGTGCTTTACTTGAAGACAGAAATTGGCAGGATGGATGTAGCTGAAGGACAAAGGTACAGAAAAGTTAAATGTGCTAATAATAGGGAAGTTGGGGTGATGGGTTATGTTACCTGGACCAAATAGAGAGGGAAGTGAGACTGGGGATGCTGATAAATAGAGAGGAAGAGCATAAGATCAGTGACGGGAAATTTTGGTGAGGTAAAAAAAAAAAAGGCATAATAGGAGTTAGGGAGAGAGAACTATCAAAAGAAGAAGGTTAAGAGGATATGGCCTGAGAATGGGAAGTTGGAGTTCAATATATCAGTGGATGGCAATCCCAAGCAATGACAAAGCCCAATATGCTGCTTTTGGTGTGGTCCAAAGTAAATGGACTAATAGAGCGACTCAAGCTTGCAAGGGGTCAGGGCAAGCTTCCCAGACGAAGTGACCCTGGAGGTGGGACTGGAAGGAGAAGGAGTTCACGGGGCAAGAGAGGAAGGAAGGGCATTCCAGGTGGAGAAGAAAGAACAAGCAAAGGCCCTGTGGCTAGCTGCGGCGTGATGAGTAAGCGAGAGTGACAGAAGGCCAGTGTGGTTGGAGTGGACACAGGGAGGAGAGATGCATAAGCTGACGGAGAAGTAGAAAGGGAGCAGGCTACCAAAGAAGACAGATGGTTAGGAGTGTGCCCAAGGGCCACCAAATAGAAGCTTCAGTGGAACCGACTGGAACCTTGATAAGCCACAGTGGGACTCTAACCGCCTGTGGTGTGAGGCCTCTGAGGAGGTAGCACAGGTTTGTCATGGGGCTGCCTGAGTTTAGCCCTCAGCTCAGGCTCAGGATCTGACTCGGTCTGTGCCCACAGAACTGAACCAAGCTCACAGAGGGCTCCAGCCGGGTGCACCTTGTCCTGTTAACAAAGTTCCCAGACTGCAAGCACCATCTTCTTCCCTGAGGAGAAGGAGCCTCCTGTAGGGAAGGAGCCGCCTGCTGCCTCTTCTCATCAGTAGCGAAGGGAGGCCCACCGCTCAGTCTGAGGAGATAAACACCGGTCCTGCCAAAGGGCAGGCTGGGGGGGGGGGTGAGGTTCTTGGTCTCCTCACAATCAAGACCAGCCTCTAGGAATCTGACTCTTGCCTCCACCGCTGTGACCCCCCCCCCAAATTTACCCATCTGCACGAGTATACACACAACATGAGCAGAGCTGGCTTTCTGTCAAACAGGCCATATGGGAGAGAAGGGCCACCCAAGAGCACCATGGCAGCCTTCTGGGGGCTAGAGAATCACTTCCGTCAGTGGCATTCCTTTCAGGTTCGGGATGGGAGGCTAGACCACACATCGTTGGGGTTTATTTAGCACCAACTCACCAAACTTGTATTGATCCCACTCTCCACTGGATTCTGTCCTGGATGCTGGAATTACGTGCAGTAATTCTTAAAAGCAAGCTCCTGCCCCTTAGGGATGTGTGACGTGGGAGGAGAGAATCAAGAAAGCAAAGGGTTAATACAAGTGTTTGGATCTTTTTTAAAGCTTTTATTTATTTGAGAGAGAGAGAGAGAGAAAGCATGAGTGGGGCAGAAGCAGTGGCAGAAGGAGAGGGAGAGGGAGAAGCAGGTTCCCCGTTGAGCATGGAGCTCAACACAGGGCTCGATCCCAGGACCCTAACACCATGACCTGAGCGAAAGACGGATGTTCAACCAACTGAGCCACCCAGGCACCCCAACACAAAGCTTTTTAAATAGATGCTCAAACAAAATGTTATGGGAGCCCTCACTATAGAGGGAGGAATTTGGGGTGGAAGTCAGGGTGTGGTGGATGCGGTGACTTTTGAACTAGACTCTGATGGATGGAGAAAATGTGGCCAAGAAGAGATGGGTGATGGGACGTTTCAGGGAGGAAGGCTATGGCCAATAAACTGTAAAGATTGAATTCTGTCGTGAGGACTGGGAGCCATGGAAGAACTTCAGATGGAGGCAGCCATGAGGCCCAGTGGAGGGAGAAAGGGCTCAAAAGTCCCCCAGACCCAAGTTTGAGTCCTAGCTCTGCCACTAATCAGCCGGAACCTGGGCTAAGCCACTATTGTCCAGCCCATCTGCTCTTCTGCAGGTGAGGACCACCCTGCTTGTCTCCCAGCATGGCTGACAAACCTGATGGAAGGGTGGGAAGGGGTATGCCACGTGGCCAGGGGCACCCTGTCTCTCAGTCTCCGAGGTCATATCAACAGTTGGGTGTGAAGTCTCCTTCCCACCTGTGCAACTGCAGGACTTTAGGCCCCCTTTCAAGGTTGCATCCTCTGTAGTATCTTGGGACATCCCGGCTTCAGAACTTGGCCTTTCAGCCAGCCAGGCCCAGGTCTCGGGGTGAGACAAACTGACTCAGGCTGCCAGTGCAGGCTGCGCAGCAAGGCTCCGGCAACCGACTTAGGGTTCTTCTATACTACTCCATACAAGGACTCCTGGCCCTTCACCGTCCCCACCCTCCCTCAATCATTTCTTCCCAGGCCTTATGCCAACCTGTACCCTAAAGTGATGAGTAAAGACATTGCTTTCAAGATAAGGAGATAAGCTGAGAGTGAAAGCAGGTGAGGTCATCATTGCCATCATGACAGGGACCCCAGGGACAGAACTGCAGGGCTGAGGACCGTGCGTGGCTTTGGTATCCTCCAAGACCATCCCTGGGCAGAGTCCAGAGGATGGGGGAGGGGTACCTGCTTGGTTTATTTGCTTCCAGGGCTGACACTTCAGCCCAGCTGATCTTTGCTATAATATTAACTGCCATTTCAGCAGTGCTGGCTGCCAGGGGCAGAGAGAACAAGGTACAGACGACACCGGTTTTAGCTGTGGTGATGTACTCACCTTCACAAACACTGACATAGCATTTACTCCTTATGGCCTGCACATTCTGAGAGCTTCACAAACATTCACTCATTTAATCCTCATCTCGTTGCTGAGAAGTTAGTCCTATTATCCCTGCATTTCACAGGTGAGGAAACTGTGAGCTCAAAGCAATGAAGCCGCTTGCCTGAGACCACACAGTCAGTGGGTGACAGAGCTGGGACCGAAACTCCAGCAATCTGGCTCCACTGCTAAAGGCAGGGCTGTTTGTCCTAAAAGGCTGTCTCATGGGGTCCCTCCTCTGCACGGCCCCATCAAGTCTCCCTGCTTGCCCTCAGGACGGTGCACAGGGGAGGAAAGGGCCTTTGCAAGGACATTCCCCCCAGTCCTCTGGTCTCTGGGAATCACATCATTTCCAGTCCTGGAACAGGGGCGGGAGTGGGGAGGGGGTGGAACAGGGAAAAGACAGCAGGAGCACCAGCAGTCCCAGAACCATACAGGGTCCTCATGGTCCTTGTCTCTGGTCTGTCCTCTGAGGCTGTGGGCTCTGCCATCTGCCTTTATGCCTGGAGGTGGAGTTCACAGAACCTCCTCACTCGTTTAAATTCCCCTCCTGGGGTGCCTTGGTGGCTCAGTGGTTGAGCATCTGCCTTTGCCTCAGGTTGCGATCCCGGGGTCCTGGGATTGAATCCCGCATCAAGCCCCACAGGGAGCATGCTTCTCCCTCTGCCTATCTCTCTCTCTCTCTCTCTCTCTCTCTCTCTCTCTCTCCTCTCTCCCTCATGAGTAAATAAATAAAATCTTTAAAAAAATAAAAATTCCCCTTCTGGCAGGAGTCCCGTAAAGACCCTCTTTCCCTCTTCCAAACGGGTCTCTTTTATTGTATTTGGATGGGTTATTTGAAAGCCACCTTCAACTTAAACTGGTGGCGGATGGAAGCAGAGTGTAAATACATTAAACACAAGTTGAAAAGGAGCGGGTGGTTTACTTCTGGGGTCCTCTAGACTAGGTAAGTACCTGTCTACTGGGTCAGTTTGTCTCGCGGACGTATTGCTTTCTGGCCAAGCGTTCTAGAGGCACTGATGCAGCCAGCTGCCCGAAGATGCTGGGGCCGTGGAGACAAGGCTGGCTCTGTACTCTCCGCTTCCCCTGTAGGGACTCGTGCTGCTTCGGAGTGATCCATACTTCAGGGGAACCAAAGCCTCGTTCTAGAAGCTATGGCAGAAAGGGCGTGTCCAGTTCCCCAGTGTTCTAGGTGCCCCCAAACTGCCCTTTTGAGTCTTCTTCCCTCTTCAGTAGCATTCCCCCAAACCCTCCAAACAGGACCTTCATTCTCTCTGACACAGGAATGGCCCCAACAGCTGAGTGGGACTCCGCCGTCCCAGCCACCACAAGAGAAATGTGGTCCTCCTCTCTGCTGGTGGCTGGCAGCACTCTTGCCAAGCAGGCTCTACCGTGGGGACTCACCCCAACTGCAGAACGTTGCTCCCTGGCTGTAACCAACTTCCCTTAAGGGCACAGTGGGGCTTCCTAAACATGAGGGACAGAGGACACTGGCTTTTTCTGAGACAGGCCAGCTCAAAGGAGGAGGAAGGATCAACATTCATCTCTGAGCCAGAGTCCAGGGTGGGGAGCTAATGGGAAACAGCTTGCTGGAAGGAGGGGGACAGAAATCAGAATGGCTGCTGAGGCAGACTGCCGAAGAGGGGGGCAGGGAGGAGCAGGCTGATTGAGACCAGCTGCTGCTCCTCTGCCCTGAAGATCTTTGGACTCTGCACGGGGCGGGCTCGGGAGAGCCCACACTTCCCCACCCACCTGGACTCTTGACTCCCGGAGCCCTCAGATACAAGAGACCAGAGGGGGACTCTCCATCCATCTGGCCGGACGCCTCCTCCCCATCGCCAGCCCCAGCCTCCTGGCTGCTCCTGCCCTGGGAAGGCCTGGAGGAAGAGGGCAGGGAAACAGCCCTTCCTCCTTCTCCCCCGTCCCTTCCATCCACCCAGCACCAGCATCTGGAGACCCCATGGCCTGGGCTCGCTGGGGCTGCTGCCCCTGGCTTGTCTTCCTCTGTGGTATGTGCATCCTGGTCCCTCCCTCCCACACTGCCACTGGGAGGGCAGGTCCAGCTGGAGAGCAGCTCTGGCCTCTCCCCTCTGGGCTCAGAAAGGGTTGGAGTAAGGGCTGGGGCCCAGGTTGTCCCTTTCTCTCTTGGTCCTCCTCTCTGTCTTGAGAAAGAAGAATCCCAGGGCCAGTCCTCGGGGGCCCTCCAGACTCAGGTCAAGTCTGGCTTGGTACCTTGCCATTTCTACCTGTTAAAGAAAAGATGATTCTGGCACTTGTGGAGAGTAAGGAAGACTTTATCCAAAACTACTGCAATAAGGGCATTGCAATAGGGGAAAAAGATCGAGCTCAACTCTAAACACAGCAAAGATGACTGAGGACTCCCAGCCAGTGAACGGGAGTAGGGGAGTGGGGAGGGGGCAGTGGATGTAATATTGCCAAGAGAAGACAGCAGGGGTGGGGGTTCTTGCTGAGCCAACTTATTAATAGGATTCTCGCTGAAGGCAGGCCAGGGTGATCAGCTATCGAAGGTGAAGAATGAGGAATGTGATCAGATGGCAAAGGTGATCAGGTATTAAGGGTGGGGGGATGGTCTCTAAACTGGCTTAGCAAGATTCTTACTGAGGACTGGCTGACGCCTTGCCCAGTAAGGACAGGATGGACACAGAGGGACATAAACAAAGTCAAGTCCAAGTAAAGAAGAGGCTCAGAGGAGCCTAGCTAAAGTTCGGTCTCTGTCACTCCTATGGTGCTGTTTGCCTCTTTGGTCACAACTAGACGCCCAGCTCGATGCCCCCCCACCTCCACTCCACCCCCAGCCTCAGGGAGGCCTCCCTTCCCTTCCTCCTCTGTCAGCAGGACTCCGCTCATTCAGGCAGCACCCCATTCCTGAGTGCCAGGCTCTGGGCCAGGGAACACAGAGAGATTCAACTGCAGAGCCTGTCCTTGGGAGCCATGGTCCTGGCCTCAGAGAACAGCAATCTGGATGTCCAGAGGGACACAGGTTGGCTGAGTCTTGCTTCTTACGTTGGCACCTTAGCATCACTGTTTTGCCAACTATCTGTTCCTACAGAAATGGGATCATTTTCTTATTTCAACAGTATGGGTCTCATCTCCCCCTTAAGTTTATGAGACCAAGAGAGCCAGGCAGGGCATTTCTAGTGTTAGATGCCCAGTCACCCTCCTATCTGTACCTCAGCCCACTCAGAAGGTAAAAGCATAGTGTCTCCCCATGCCCAGGCCCCCATTACTCTCTGAGGAGATCTCCCCTAAAGGCAGGGGCTGGAGGAAAGGACTATCAGTGACCACAGGCTTTTTAGGCTTTGAGGCCAGGACTGGAGGACTAGCCCAGTGTCTGGCATACAGTAGGTATTTAGGAAATGCTTGCCCTGTGAATATTGGGTGACTCTCCTTAGGGCACACCAAATTTGTGGCAGAGCCCAAATTGGAAACTAAGTCTTCATATGCTCTCTCCTTTCTGGGGCACCACCCTTCCATGGTTGACTTTTTGTACTCTGATGGCCCGGGTTCAAATCCCTGCTTTACCACTGACTCACTGTGGCAAAACTTGGATGAGTTACTAAACCTATCTGGGCTTCAGCTTCCTCCCTTGGAGAAAATAGAGGGTACGGGTGCCTGGGTGGTTCAGTCGGTTAACTGGTTAATTGTCTGCCTTCCAATCAGGTCATTATCCCAGGGTCCTGGGACGGAGCCCCCCTGATCAGCAGAGAGCCTACTTCTCCCTCTCCCTCTGCCTGCTGTTTTCTTTGCTTGTGCTCTCTCTCTCTCTGTCAAATAAATAAATAAAAGCTTAAAAAAAGAAAATAAATGGTAATACCCACCTCACAGGTTTGTTGCAAGTATAGAATAAGATACTATAGATAAATTACTGAGCTCAGTGTCTGGTACATAGTAGAAGACCTTTAAATGCTAAGCTACCTTTCCCCACCAGGTGATGGTGTCAGATTGGGATTGATTTGTTTTATGTATTTAAAATGGGCCTGGACTGACAGCCAGAGATTTGGATTGTAATAAATGGTACAAGTGGGCCTTGAATTTAAGTAAACCCAATATATATAAAATTAGATTTATAGAAGGGTAAAATGAAGGTGGGGTGATTATTTAGCAAGATCCTCTAGAGCATTTCAAAGAAAATTTGATTACAAAAATTTAATTTACACACAACGGTTCGGTAAACCCTGAAAAGACCCAATTAGATTAGAAGGGAAAATTGATTTAATGAGCAATAAAACCCTTGCAAAAGTGGCAATCACTTGTCGATGAAACAGGTTTCTTTGATTGTGACCCAGGGTGCCATCCCATTCCACCTAATTTCCTATGAAATGTGATTATTTTTATCCTCAAATAGAGTTGGACAGCGCTGCTTGTTTCAAAGGATGGAGGCCCGGTGGGGGACAGGGAGGGCGATTTGGGGAAACACGTCCCTGTGCTCTCTAGGAGCTCACTGGTCTCCAAGTGACCCTGGATTTTTCTCCCTGGTTTCTAGCTTTGGGTGCCTGGGGCCACCCTAAAGCAGCGAACCTGAGAGGAGAGGATGTGAGAAACTGTTCCATCAGCCCTCCGGTAAGGACCCACCCCGGCCCCGCCCCCCAGCTCCGATCTCCTCCCCATCCCCCACTGGCTCAGTCGTTAGTCTCTCCCTCTAACCAGGCTTTCTCCTGACTTCCGGACTCTGAGGCCCCTGTTTCTGATTAACATCCCTCCGGGCGGGCAGCACATTCTCAGGTGTCTGACACCCAACCCCCCATCCCTCCCTCCCTCCCACTCCCCCCCACACCGCCCCATCCCTCCCACCCCCCCCCATTCCCACAGCAGGTTATCTACTTCCGGCCTGGGCAGCCCCACGGGAGGGGGGAGGGCACCAAAGAGGGTGGAGGCCTCTAACTAGCCTTTGGCGGAGGCTAGGGAGAGGCAAGGAGGAGGATGGGAGGAAAGAAAACAAAAGTTCTAAAGGAACAGAGCGGAGGGAGGCACTGAAGAGAGAAGGAAGTAAGACAGAGGGCTAGAAAAGCCCACGAAAAAAAAAAGGATGCAAAGGACAAAAGGGAGCCCTAGGGTGTGACTAGGAAGAAGGCCCAGCATATTGGAGCTGAAAGATCGGTGGCAGCTTCCTAGCTGGAGACTAGTAGATTCTTTCCACAATCAGAATATGGCGAAAGAGCTTCCTCGGGCAGGGGCAGGCCAGAGGTGAAACCTTGTGGCCTGCCAGCAGTTCACTAAGCCTTGGGGCCAGTGGGGTGCATCTGCTTGCAATGTCAACTTTATGAGACCACTGGGGCAGGCAGGTGGGTGGGCAATCCACGTTGTTTTTATATGAAAACAAACATGGTTATATCATTGAATAGAAGGTAAAACGAAACAAAAACCCCACACAGTTTGTTTTATTTTTTATTTTATTTTTTTAATATTTTATTTATTTATTCATGATAGTCACACAGAGAGAGGCAGAGAGGCAGAGACACAGGCAGAGGGAGAAGCAGGCTCCATGCAGGGAGCCCGACATGGGATTCGATCCCCGGTCTCCAGGATCGCGCCCTGGGCCAAAGGCAGGCGCCAAACCGCTACGCCACCCAGGAATCTCCCCACAGTTTGTTTTAAAGATAAGGCAGCCTTTTAAGAAATGTCTGGCTTAGAGGGGGATCTTTCTAGGCAATGCTGGGGCTACTTATTCACTCTCCTCTGCCATTTGGGACCAGTGAATGGAAACTTGAAAAAGTCCCTAAGGTAGGATTGCCAGATGAAATACAGGGTGCCCAGTTACATTTGAATTTCAAATAATAAATACATGTTTTAGTGTAAGTATGCCCCAATAGTGCATGGGACATACTTATACAAAAACATTATATGTTGCTTATCTAAAATTCAGATGTGACAGATGGATATTCTGTATTTTTATTTGCTAAGTTGGCAACCCTGACTCCAAGGTATCCAGAGAAAGACCATCCCTCTAGCCTGGCCCAGTGCCAGGGCTCAGATCCCTGCAGTTCTCACCCATGCCCCCATCCCAGACTCAGGTCGCATATTGCTACAAGGAGTTCCTCTCCAAGTTCTTCAATGCCTCCATCTCTGCTTGGCCCAGACACCTTAATGTAGACTAACCTGTGACATCAGCTGCCAACACCCCCACCCCATTCCTCTCCAGGCTGACCCAACCTACCTGCCCTATAACACCTGCCTAAGGAGAGACCAGTGGTACCATTGGATGCTGGGGCCCAGGCATCATTCTCTCTAAGTAGTGTGTGTCTCTGTGTGTCTCTTGGTGTCTTCCTGTCATCTGTCAGTACCTTCCAGTTACTGCGGTCAATACCACAGCGCAGCTCACGGCCCTTCGCCAGCAGATGCACAGCCAGAAACTTTCTGCCTACATCATCCCCGAAACGGATGCCCACATGGTGAGGGACAGCTCCTCCCCCACCCTTGCCCTCTGCTGTCTTGGGTCAACCATCAATGGGGACAGGCCACGAACCAGAGGCCATTAAGGCTCAGAAGATGAAGGCAGAGAACGGATTCAAAAGGCAAAGGGATGGAAGTAAGGGGCTTGGACATGGGAATTTTAGGGCAGCTGAGAGAATGTATTCCTTTACATAGGAGAGAAGACACTACTAGATCTCCTTGACTTCAGGCAATGAAACTATCAACAAGTTCAGAATCGATTTTGATCAATTCCTAAATGGCAGATCCATAATGAAAGATTAGGGTAATCTGGCCCTTTGAGGTTAAAGTGTGGGCTAGGAATTGGACTGGAAGCATTGTAACCTTCCCTTAACCTGGTGGGTGGAGCACTGGAATGATCCAGAGGCCAGGGCTACACGAGTTTGGGGTGTAGATTGGGGGAGGGGAGCAGACAAAAAACAAGATGGTCTGAATAAGAACTGCTTTTCCCAAAGCAGCACCCCTACCTACCCAGCCCACCCTTTCCCCACCACTGGTTCCACCTCCATCCCATCCACCTTTCCAGTACTAGCCAGTTTGAAAGAGAGGGGATTTTCAGTGTTAATAAGATTGCTTGAATTTGTTTTCCCACTTTGGGTAAGTGCCTCAACTTCTCTGAGACTCAGTTTTCTCTTCTGCTAAATAGAAATATTGAGATCTGCCTCAAGGGATTATGATGATCAAAATACAATAATGTGGGAAGCCCTCTGCAGAAATTATTTATGATGTACCCAGTGTACTGTACTAGCCTGGAGAGAGGCAGGACAACTGGAGGGAAGAACCCAGAAGGACCCAAAGACATGATCCTAGACTGCACGGAGTTTACATTCTGGCCAGGGAGATAAGATTCTCTGACTATTCTGCCCAGTGCTGGACTATGGGATTTAGACTCCAAGAAATCCAGTTGTCCAAAAGGAAGGGGAGATCCTGAGATCTGGGGGTGTGATAGAGGACTTCCTGGAAGAGGTGCCCAGTGTGCCTGGATTTGTAGGACTGGTCGAATCCATCCAGACAGAAAGAACCAGGATGCAGTGGGGGGTCTTCCGTGAGGAGAGGGATGTCTAACTCCATGAAAAAAAGCTAACGATGGTGTCATTGATTTCCTAGAGTGAGTACATCGGCGAGCGTGACAAGAGGCGTGCGTGGATCACAGGCTTTACAGGGTCTGCAGGTGAGAGCCATTACCCAGCTCTTTATTGCTTCTGTTGGGAGACCCAGACATGGTCACAGAGGCTCTGATATGGCCAGTTCTCTGAAGCCAGGACCCTAGGACCTAGTGTCCAGAGGCTCTTCTTCCCCTCTACTACTCTGAAAAGGGCCACCAGGGCACACATCATAGCCCATCAGTCACACTTCTGCCTGAGGTGGATGGCCCTCCTGGCTTTGTTGCTGTGCTTGTGGCCCCTGCAGCAGCCAGGCCTAGCTTAGCACACCCTGGGCCCCAATTCCAGAACAACTGCTACTTCCACATCTAGCAACTGGGGGCCCACTAATTCCCTTCACATGCTCTCACTTGGGGACCAAGTTTGACTTAGCTGGTCCTTTCTCAGATGTCACCTCACTGAGCCAAATGAGACACCAAATAGAGGCCCTTTATGGGATCTCTGTTTCTGAAGAGGCCTCCCACCCTGATTGTGGCCCTTGAGTGAAATCCAAGCTTCCCTCACTGGTCCTTAAACATTCTTTCCCTGGGCTTCAAGCTCCCTTGCCTTACCCATTCTGGCCACAATCACTGGGTTTGGCTTCTCTGCGTCTTCAGCTAAGCTCCTGGCTTCATGTCCCTATCGGCCACTGAGTCTTGATGCTATAGTCTAGATGGCTACCACACCATCTTTCCTGAGAGAGCCTACCTGCAGCATTGACTGTCAAAAGTGAACCCCACTTGTCCCTCCTTAGGAGAGGCCCTCAACACAAAGCAGAGATGCCCACGCTGGCTTCCCTCAATGCTCTCCTTAATGTCTCCCACCTCACTCCCTTGCAGTGAAGGAGAGCAGTTCTTTCCAAAGGCCCCTTGGGACATCCTCAGAGTCAGCACCATCTTGCCTATGCATCCCCTAAGGCCACCTTCCTCACCTTCATCCACGCCTCCAAGTTTCTCTGTTCTGCCCCAGGTACAGCAGTAGTGAGCGTGGGGAAAGCAGGTCTCTGGACCGACAGTCGCTACTGGACCCAGGCTGAGCGACAAATGGACTGCAACTGGGAACTGCATAAAGAAGGTAAAAGGGGCGCACATCCCCCAAGCTCTGAAGCCTGGACTAGGTTCTACAAGGCACAGGTAAGAGGATGCATGCAAGGCCATGGTGGGCCTCTGTGGGGGACTCTGAAAATCTGAAGCTGTCCCTAACCTTTGAAGCTAACATCAAGGAGGACAGATAAGACGGGACTGTCACAGACAGAAGTCTGACTGTAGGGCCTGGTGCTGGCCCTAGAGGTGACTCCGCATTCTTTCCTGTCTCCCTCTCAGTTGATATAACTTCCATAGTCACCTGGCTCCTCGCTGAGGTTCCCGCTGGAGGGCATGTGGGTTTCGACCCCTTTCTCTTCTCCATTGGTATGTTTTTCCCTCATTCCTGCATTTGTTCACACCCATGAGGGTGACTCAGCCCCTCTGGGATGTAAAGAAGCATACCTTGGTAGAAGGAGAGGCAGGATGACCCTAAAGATAGCGTGTCTGAAGTTGTAGTTGCAGGATATTTTGCAACAAAGATTGATTCATGGATTGTGAAATGAAGATATATTTAAAAGAATGAATGCAGATTTAAAAAAAAAAGTCATGAGTACAGAGAGCCAACCTAGAAGACTCAGGGAATTATTAAGATCTAGCAGACAATAGACCAGGATGTTCTTGAACCTAGAACCAGCCTCTATACTCCGGGGCTCTCTGCCAGTTGTGGCTGTAGAATCATTTGGTAGCCCTCTTCTAGAAGGCAGCTTGGAAGGTCAAAGGAGGCCAGTGGGTTTCTGAGCAAAGAAGCATGGTTCCCCCACCCCTGCCAAGAATACAGCTCCCTGAGCTCTGGGGCCCCAGCCAGCTGGCCAGCCTGCCCCTAAGGGTGGAGTCTTCATGAACATGAACTAAAAGACTACCCCCCCAGAACTGGCTTCTTTACCAGCCTTTCCAACGGCATGAACATCACCTTTCCTTCGGGCTATGGTGTTGATACTCTTTTAAAATGGAGAGTCCTGAGAAGAGGCCCCCCTGGCCACTGGCAATTAGAAAGATAAGCCTAGCCAGTTGGCCGTGGGCAGTGTTGGGTGGGCCCCGGGACAATCAGGCTTCAAAAGCAGAAAGAGGAGGCTGAGAGGACATACCCCAGGAGGACCAGACTGCTTGGACCTGCTCTGGGCAGCAGAAGCTGTGGCAATGCAGTGGGAGGCAAGGAGACAAGGACTAATTCTGCCCGAGTCACAGTTTTGCGGAGGTGTAAACTGGCAGGGTACAAGTGAGGGTACAAGTGACGGCTTCCTGTCTCTGCAGGTTCCTGGAAGAGTTATTACACGGCCCTCAAAAACTCTAACATACAACTGGTGTCCATCACAAACAATCTTGTGGACCTGGCATGGGGGTCAGAGAAGCCTCAGTTTCCAAGCCAGCCCATTTATGCCCTGAAGGAGGCATTCACAGGTGATTCCCTGACTGAGCTCGTTCTTCCCAGCTTGAAGGTACACAGGTCCCCACTGCTGCTCCTTTGGCTGAAAATTTTGTCCCGGGAATTACCAGAGCAATGGTTCTCAAACCTTCCTGTGTACCCAAATAGTCTGGGATGCTTATTTAAAAAGCAGATGTCTGGGGCCCCTCATCTCAAACAGCCTGAATCAAAGGTCCTCAGACCGTATTTAGAAAAGGCTGGAATAAGTAGTGTTAGGATTTGAAGCAAGAGGGAGCAGAAAGAGAGGAAACAAAGGAGTCAGAGCAAGATGAAAAGAAAAAAAAGAGCCCTACCCCTTTGAAGAGAAGGAAAAAACATGATATGAATTGTCTGTCTGGTTGTTGACTTCTGGCCCTCCTGTGGTATGACTGGGGTCAGGTGAGCCAGGCTGACAAAGGAAGTATATAATTAAATTCAAGGTCAGTCCATGGTACAAATTAGGGTTCAGATTTTGGCCAGACCACAAAAGAAAGTTAACTGACCCCCCCCCCCAATTCTAACACCGATAATGTTCATCTTGATGTCATCGATACCACCTAAAAACGTCATAAAAGAACAGCATTCTCTACAATTCTGGTAAGTAGTATCTAAAATCCTGACCGGACCAGGCTACTGATGATGAATCACTGTCTTGGCCACCACCACCCCCTACCTCCCTAGGAATTCTGAAAGAGCCAATGGATGTGGATTCCTAAGAATATTGGGCAATCCAAGCAGCCCGTCTCCGCACGCAGGTCCATGCACATTTCTTGTTTGAAAAGGAGTCAAGAAAGCAAGAGGGGAATTTCAAAATAGCAAGGCTGATGAAACAAGCTAAAATCGTGCCCAATTTTCTTTATCCATTCTGATATAGCTCGTAGAATCATTTGGCATCTCAAAAAAGTTTTTAAGGAAACTTGCTATCCAGGACTCTGCCATCATAAATAAAACATATCCCTCTCAGATAAAGAAGGGCTCAGTTATGTTGGGAGGGAGAGGAGATAGAGAAGGGAAAGCTTCCAGGGACCAAGGGAGAATTCACGTGGGATTCCTTATGGCCCACAAGTGATGGAATGCTGAGCCTTTATTGGTGGCTAGTCTTCAAGAAAGAGCCAAAACTAGGATTGGAAGTCCAAGAACAGTTCTTGAGTCCCTAAGCTTACAGAGACAAGAGAGACATTCTCTCCAGCAACAGATAGTCTTTAAAGGGGGCAAAGGGCAAAGAGAAGACCGTGCAAAGTTAATCAGAGATATCTGTATGCATCAGACAATTTAAATTTGCCTTTGCTTGTTGTCATGCAAATGTATCATGTTCATAAAACTTGATAACATAATTCTAAGTGAAAGAAGCCAAAAAAGGCCCCATAGTGCATGGTACCATTTGTATGAAATATCCAGTATAGGCAAATCCATAGAGATGGAGACGGAAAGCTGATTAATGGTTTCCAAGGGTCTGAGGGGAATGGGGAGTGGCTGCCTTATGACTACAGAGTTTCCTTATGGGATGATAAGAATGTTCTGGAATTAGTTCTGGAGTTAGATAGTGGTGGTGGTTGCACAATCATGTGAATGTTCTTAAAGCTACTGAATTGTGCATTTTAAAGTGGATAAAATGATACAGTTTATGGTATGTATATTTTACTACAATAAAATAAAATAATCCTTAAACAGTATCATACCCAAATCTCTGGCTCTTGTTGGATAGTTTTTACCTGTTTGCATGAAGTTTTTTTTTAAATAGCATTAAGTTACTCATGCCTAATCTCTGAGCCCAACTGGGATCCTCAATGTTTAGTACCTTCTGCCAGCAAATTCTGAGCCGTGCCTAGGGACAGACTCTTCATGTGCATTACAGAGAGTAGGGATAAAAGATGAAAACTAGAGCCAAGGTACAAGCATCCTGGGAAGGACAGCTCTGAGACAGAGTTTAAGGACAAGTCTGTGGACTGACAGTGTTAGCAAGATAGTCCAGGGTCCATATCAAGTAAGAGGGTGAGCTGTGTGATCAAACAGACCTGGGTGGAAATCTCAGCTCTACCCTTCACTAGCTGTGAAATCCTAGACAGGTCACTTTTCCTCCCTGAAGTCTCAATATCTGTAAAATGGGTTAAAGAAGGATTAAGACAATGTTCAAGGACCTGTGGTTAATTAGGCACCAGGTTATTTAAAAAAAAAAGAGGCTTGACCATGACCAACCCTTTGCCCTTCGACTAAGGCTGCTCTCTTGGAGCTGTGTTCTGTACACCTATTTATTGATCAGAAAGTTACAGCAGACTTACCATACACCAAGACACCATCCTATGTGCATTACAAAGGGTAATTAATTTGATCCCCATAACAACCCTATAGACATAGATACTCTTATGATAATCCATCCTCATTTTATAGGTATGTGAAATAAGACAGAGGGATTAAGTAATTTGTCCAAGGTCACACAACTAGTAATAGCAGAGACAGAATTTGAACCCAGACAGTAGGTTCAAAGAGTCGTGCTACACAGTCAGAGTTTGTTTGGAGAAAGTTTTCTATTGCTATGAAAGAAATGGACAGGGATCCCTGGGTGGTGCAGCGGTTTGGCGCCTGCCTTTGGCCCAGGGCGCGATCCTGGAGACCCGGGATCGAATCCCACGTCGGGCTCCCGGTGCATGGAGCCCGCTTCTCCCTCTGCCTGTGTCTCTGCCTCTCTCTCTCTCTCTCTCTCTCTCTCTATCATAAATAAATAAAAATTAAAAAAAAAGAAAGAAATGGACAACGATTTCCCTCAGGGAGCACTCTCAGGAACAGAGTGCCAAAGGGAAAGTCTGTCACTTATGCTTTCTTTGGGATCCTTTACTTCTAGGGAGCACCTGGGAGGAGAAGGTATCTGACATCCGCAGCCAGATGCAGAAGCATCACAAGGGCCCAACAGCCGTCCTTCTGTCGGCACTCGATGAGACAGCCTGTGAGTATGGACTTGTGGACATGGGTGGGCACTTGAGTCTCTCCAACCCCCAAGCCTCATGGCCCTGCAGCACAGGACTCCTCCCCCCAATCACCATATAACAATGGGGTTCATGAATTCCATGGCCACGGTCTGTGGGAACTAGGAGAATGAGGGGGCAGGAGATCATGTCTGCTGAAGGAGAAAACCAGGAGGCCCAGAGCCAGCTGGAGCCAGCCCACAGGCCATCAGAGGAATGGGCTGAGCACAGAGGCAAAGGCTGTCTCACAAAGAGAAAGAGCCCCAGCTAACACCTGCCATCAGCCTGGCCACCCAGCCAGGGCATCCATACTCTCCCAGCTTTGGCACCCAGTGCAGCCCGATTCTATCCCAATGTGGCTCAGGGCTTCTTACCTGACCCCATTTCTGGGCTTCGGATTCCACTGGGAATCCACCAAAACTATGCTGATTGCTGGCTGGATATCTTCGTTTTTCTGGGACAAAGGGTCCACAGCTCTCATCAGTGCCTCAAAGACACCGCCCCTGCCCCCCCCCAAAAAAATAAAACCTGAGAAACATTTCAAGGCAGATGTGCAGGCAGACTGCTGGGAATCTTTGGTGGGGGGAGAGGGGGTGGGCAAAGCAAACTGTGAGACAAAGGTGTGACATATACTTGCCTCAGGCAGATCAGCCTCAAAAAGTCTCCATCAATTTTCTTTCCCAGGGCTCTTCAACCTTCGAGGCAGTGACATCCCTTATAACCCCTTCTTCTATTCCTACACACTGCTTACAGACTCCTCCATCAGGTACAGCTTTTCCTTGGCTTGCTCTCCGGGACTTCTTCCAATTGCCACCCCTCTCCTGCCACCCCACCTACCCTGCTGTAATGTGCAGCCTTCCCAGGAGCCTGCTGCCTGCCCCAACAGGATCCTCTAGGAAGCCTCCAGTCAGCTATTCCTGACCCCTTGACCTGAATTCCCACCTACTCCAAATTTGGTCTGCTTGGCTCCTTGGTGCGGTTCCTCTGACCTCCAGGAACAAAAGGACTCTTGTCCTTCGCGTTGTCCTTAGAGACCCTCAGGACCCTCCTGGTCTTCCCTCCTCATGCAGGCTATTTGTAAATAAGAGTTGCCTTGACTCTGAGACCCTGAAGTACCTGAACTCCAGCTGCTCGGGCTCCATGTGTGTGCAAATTGAAGATTACAGCCAAGTCCGTGGCAGTGTCCAGACCTATGCCTCTGGAGACGTGAAGATCTGGATCGGGACCAGCTATACTACATATGGGCTCTATGAAGTGATACCTCTGGTAGGTTTGCTGGGCTCACTCCCTATCCCCCACTCTAACCCTGATAATTCTCAACCTAAAGCGAGGCCACAGCCTCCCAGCCATTGAGGCAGTTGCTCAGTCCCCTTGCTAGGGCTCCCTGGGAACGGATAGAAAGAGAGGGAGCAGATGTCTATCCACAGAAAGATTGTTGAGGAGACTAGACGGAGTACAGCCTGGTAGAGCAGAGGCTTTGAGGTCACCAAACCTGAGACTGAATCCTGGTTCTGTCCTGAACTGACTACGTAATGACCTTGGACCAGTGACTTAGCCAGTCTGGACCTCTGTTTCCTCATCTGTAAAATGGCCATAAGAGTCCTGACCTCAGAGGAGTTGCTCCAAAGATATTAGAGGAGATAGTACATATAAAGCCCGGTGTCTGGCACACAGCATGCACTCAGTAAATGTGTATTTGTCGTGATACACATGCACAAAACTCACATTGTTAGAATAGCCCATTGACTAGCAGAGGCTAGGCTCTGATCCATCCCAGAGCGCTACCAGGATCCAAGGGCAGGGAGGCAGGGAGGGAAGGTTAAGCTGGACACAGAAGACTAGGACACAGAAGACACAGAAGGGAGCCAGAAAGCACAGGAAAGAAAAGTTACTGGCAATCTAGGGAATGGCAAGTCTCCCCTTAGCTGGGCTTTCCTGCCAAACCTTTCCAAACCCCACTGTGCTCTGGAGATGCTCCCAGATCTCTTCCTTTCTGCCCATGACAGGAGAAACTCATAGAAGATACCTACTCCCCAGTGATGGTGACCAAGGCGGTGAAAAACAGCAAGGAGCAGGCCCTCCTCAGGGCCAGCCATGTAAGTCACAGGCAGGCAGTCCAGCCTTTTGGGAACTCCTTGCCTGATGAGTTAGGAAGGAGACCCTGCCAACAAACCTGAAGAAGCTCAATGAAACATAAAAGTGGACACCAGGCTCCCGGGCATCCACCTGTGCTTCACTCCCTTATTCCAAGCCTGGTACTGTGGTCTAGAGCCTGGGCCCTGGGGCTAGAGGTCTGAGTTTAAATCCCAGCTCGTCTACCCACCTCCTGGCTAGTTACTTTACCTCTCTGGGCATCAGTTACTTCATCTGCGAAATGAATATCATAACAAAAATCTACAGCATAGGGTTGTGGTGAGGATTAAATAGACAAATTAACATATATGTTATATAATAGATAATATATACATAAATTATACAAGTAAAATTTAATTAACATTTTAAGTATAATATATAATTTATAATCAGATATAAATATGTGTACATATATACATTCACATACATATAAGTATATACATATAAATAGACTTGTGGACTTATATAAATGTATAGTGAGTATATAAATTATATAAATATATGAGGGTATTATGCTGAGTGAAATAAGTCAATCAGAGAAGGACAAACATTATATGGTCTCATTCATTTGGGGAATATAAAAAATAGTGAAAGGGAATAAAGGGGAAAGGAGAGAAAATGAGTGGGAAATATCAGAGAGGGTGACAGAACATGAGAGACTCCTAACTCTGGGAAACGAACAAGAGGTGGTGGAAAGGGAGGTGGGCAGGGGGTGAGGGTGACTGGGTGACGGGCACTGAGGGGGGCACTTGATGGGATGAGCACTGGGTGTTATGCTATATGTTGGCAAATTGAACTCCAATAAAAAAATAAAAAATAAATAAATTCTAAAAATAAATAAATGATTATATACATATAAACAGAATTATATAATTATAATTATATTTATATATTTTATATTTAATTTATAATTTAATAATTATATATTATATTTATATTATAATATATTATAATTTATAATATATTTATATTTAATTTATAGTTATATTATATATTTTATATTTATATAATTATATAATTATGTAAACATCAATAACATATAATAAATATAATTATACTGAATCATAGGTAGATAGATAGATAGATCTTTGATCACTGCCTGGCACATTCCCAAGTGTTAAATTAAGTGTTAGCTATCCTGATTTCCCCACCAGGGCAAGAGAATGGCTTTTGCATATTTCTGTTCAAATGAGAAGAAATCGCCTAATTTTACAAAACTTTTTCTTAGAGAAAATTTTAAGCATATACAAAAATAGAGAAAATAGCATGATAATCACCAGCCACCCTCCCTTGGCTTCAACACTTTGCAGCTTGTGGCCATTTAGTCTACTACGCCACATTCCTTGCCTACGCACTCCTACCCTCTGCCACTGGCTGGTTTTATTTATTATTTTTTTAGATGATTTTATTTATCTATTCACAATAGACAGAGAGAGGGAGGCAGAATAATGCCCTCAGGGTCCATCCATATTGCCTATTTCATGATGGCTTATTTATTTATTTATTTATTTATTTAAATATTTTATTTATTCGAGAGATGCAGAGACACAGGCAGAGGGAGAAGCAGGCTCCCTGCTGGGAGCCTGATGTGGAACTCAATCCCAGGACCCTGGGATCACGTCCTGAGCCAAAGGCAGAAGAAGCTCAACCACTGAGCCACCCAAGCATCCCCACTGGCTGGTTTTAAAGCAAATCCCAGATATCATACAGTTTCTTCTGTCAACACTTTAGTATCTCTAAAGATAGCACTTTAGTAAGTATCTCTGAAAGATAAGAACTCTTTTCAAAACATAACCACACTACGATCATATATAAATTTAAAAATCCTTTAATATTATCAAATAGTCAGGGAAAGCCTCACGTATGTAGAGCTCAGCTCCCAGGGCAGCCACCTGATCTCCTGCTCCCAGAGCCCCGGCTGCGAGCACTTGTCAGCCGGCTTCTCTGCTTGCTGCTCCAGGTGCGGGATGCCGTGGCTGTGATCCGTTACCTGGTCTGGCTGGAGAAGAATGTGCCCAAAGGCACGGTGGATGAGTTCTCAGGGGCAGAGCTGCTGGACAAGTTCCGCGGGTGAAGAACCACTGCCGACCTTCCGGACGGACTGTCTTTAAGTGTGGGGGGTGGGGGCAAGGAGGAGGACTTGGTCTCCTTACTTCAGGGGCAAGTCAAGCACTCCTTGTATTTGGGGGCCTCTCTGGAACAAGGAATTAAGCTGGGCAGGGCCTGTTCGATGACAGTCCCCAGGCCCAGCTGAAAGCGGGACAACTTGAAGGGCCACCACCCATCAGTTGCCCCCTAGTGTCTGCTTCGGGCACAGACCCTCTCCCTCAGACCCCAGGAGTAAGGCTAGGGAGGGTGGAGGCTGGGTCAGGCCAGGTGGGGCTCCTGGACCACTTGAAAATATCCAGTTGGAGAGTGAAGTCCCCTAAGGGCATGCTTGGCCCAGGCTGTAAGCAAACTGTAGGTTTGAGGTGCAGGGTGCTGCTCTGGGGCTGGGGAAGCTTTCAGACATAAGGAGCTAGGTTTCTTCTTCATTCTTGCTTTACCACAAACTCACTGTGGGACAACGGGCCTTGATTGTCCCATCTGTAAAATGGAGGTGGAGGGGGAATAATTGATGCCTACAATCCCTCCTTGTCTGACCGTGAATGCTCTGTAGCTGACAGACTGGAGCCTGGGAAGATGGTGCCAGGAGGTGGGGCCAGGAGAGCCAAATGGAGTCTGGCTGAGGAAGAGGCAGCCATGCATCATTTGCCCTGATCAGATACCCTGGGCCCAGCCTAGTTTCTGAACCCGTCTGTTGACCATTCCCGCCGTGTACTTTGCAGAGAGGAAGACTTCTCCTCTGGACCCAGTTTCGAAACCATCTCTGCTAGTGGCCTGAACGCTGCCTTGGCTCACTACAGGTACTTCAGAAGCAATTTTCTTTTTTTTTTTTTTTCCTTTTTTTTTAAAATTTTTTTTTAATTTATTTATTTATGATAGTCACACACACACACAGAGAGAGAGAGAGAGAGAGAGAGAGAGGAGGCAGAAACACAGGCAGAGGGAGAAGCAGGCTCCATGCACTGGGAGCCCGATGTGGGATTCGATCCTGGGTCTCCAGGATCGCGCCCTGGGCCAAAGGCAGGCGCCAAACCCAGAAGCAATTTTCTAGAGCTTGTGTGGTGGGATCCTGGGGGGCTGGGGGGCGGTGTGAAGGACGGAGTGCTCTGGGACCCAGGTCCACATTTACGGTTTGAGGCCATGGGTATTGTGGGGGCTCCAGGTGGGCAGCGGAGCTCAGTCAGAGGTCCAGAGTCTTCTTGAAATTGAAAGGCCAAACAGTTGTTGACCACGAAAGACTGAGACTTTGTGAGCACACAGTGCTGAGGGATCTGGAAGGGAGTTAGGGCTGCTGCTGCTGAATGCTTTTCCTTGGCTTCCTGTCAGTTACTTATATTAGCTAATTCTTAAAGCTCTCAAATACACAGGCAAAGAGGCCTGTTTACTCAGCCTGAGCCAACGAAGGTGGGCCCAGAGGCAGGCTAACCAGACGTTTAGCTCCATAGAAAACAGACACCTGCAGGACTGCCTCATGGAATTTGGGGGCCCAAGCAGACCAGAATGCCTTAGCCTGGCACGGGGACAGCAGGAAGAGATCAGATGCCCTCCATGGGCCAGCCTGCTCTATCCCAGAATTCCCTCCCTGGAGTCTCCCAAGCCTGCAGCTGCCTTGGCCCAGCCCCTTCTCCTCCACTAGAGAATAACAGGGGAGGAACTCCTTGGCCCTACCAATTCTTGCTCTCCAGCCCCACCCTCGAGGACCCCCCCACCCCGTCCTGTGTCTTGGCTTCTCAGGGCCCTCTGCTCCCAGAGGCTGCAGAAAGTTAGAGAGAGAGAGAGAGAAAGAGAGAAACAGAGAGAATGGGGCTAAGCACCTGGGTCCAGTCCCAGCTCCTTCTCAGCTTTAGCCACAGGGCCTCCTGCAGACTCTGCAGGCCTGTGTCCCTTGTGTAGAAGGAGATGGCGGCACTGGATGCTCTCCGAAGCTCTCTAGGCTCCCGCATTCTGGGCTCTTTCCTGGGGACCAGGGCCTTAATTGGTGAGGTACCAGATCAACAGATGTGCACTGAGGACATTAGCGGCATCCATCAAACACTCCCCCAGGGCCCTTGGGGAAGTAAGGGGTGAGGGGTGCCCCTGCTTCCACTCAGGACCCCCACCCTGCCCAGTGCAGGCTTAGGCTGCTCACTTCTCAGTGGTTCTCCCTTTCCTAGTCCAACCAAGGAGCAGCACCGGAAGCTGTCTTCAGATGAGATGTACCTGCTGGATTCCGGGGGGCAATACTGGTATGTATTCCCCACACTGCCCTGGCCAACTATCTCAGCTCAGGCACCCAAGGCCCCCCAATAGCCGGCTGCAGCTTTCCCTTCCCAAGTGTGAGTCCTCTGAGAAAAAGGAAAGCCCTGGATTGAATGATTGAATGAGCCTGAGCATCATTCCCATCTTCACACTTGGGGACCCCTGCACAGTGGGAAACACACACAAGCCAAAACAGTGGGGCTGCCCACGCAGCACCTCTGTCAGAATCAGGAAACATCTCTCCTTGCTCAAGTAAAATGTTTTTGAAGCCAGCATATTATGACACAGTCTGAACAGCCATGCTTAGCAGCCCTGCCTAGCTGCACAAACACCGCACCCATATTCTCACCTACTCATGCACACCCCAGACACAGGCCCCATGCCACCAGCAGCATGCATTCTCCTCAGTCACTTCTCCCCACACTGCATAGATGAGGTAACCATATCCAGCTGGGGTGGGGGGTGAGATTAGGCCTCCAAAAGCAGCAGGCAGGTAAGAAGAACAATTTCAGAGAATGCCTGGAGCACAGGAAACAGGGCACACTTATCAGCATGGGTATGTGTGCGAGTAGATGCGTGTGAGTGCTCTTCTGAGTGTGCACATGACCATGCAGAACTATGTAGGAGGACCCTGTCCCCCTGCTCCAGCATTCCACAATCTGTATATCCACCTGTGTGCTCTCATTGAAATTCATATATAACCATAAAGTGCCTGGGACCCAACTTTAGATGTGTTACCCTTGTACAACGAACAACCTGAACACCCAGACAGAACAACCATGCAAAATAGGCTAACCCCAGTTTTCCCAAAAGTGTGACCAATCATTCACACAGAAGTTGAGATAAGATGAACCAATAGATTATTTTCCCCTTTCTCATCTAGGAAGCAAGTGGATTATGGAAAGCTTGGGCAGGGTTGGTGCAGGGAGGAAGGGGTGTACTGAACTGATGGAGGAGCAAGGAGTCATTTCAAACTGATTCCCATTCTCTATCCTGTGGAAATGGTGAATGTGCTAATGACAATGGCTCTTGTTCTGAGCACAGCGTCACCAGCTTGGCATTGCATGTACTATGTACTTGAGACGGCCAAAGTGCAAAGAGGAAGTGGATTTGTGGGGTGTTGCTGGATCGGGGCATGCTCAGATCAGGGTGAGGCTGGGGAACTGGTCACCTCACTTCCTCTTCTCTCCTTCTAAAGAAGTCTGCCACGCCTTGTGACCTGCTCCCAAGGAGGAATCCCCAGGGCCCTGGGGCCATATTTCCCCTCCCCCTCCCTGGTGGTGGCCACAGGGGTCATCTGGGGGCACAGCTGCTGCTGGTGGTTGAAAGTCAGACTTTTTGGTTTCTGGCTTCAGTTCCCTGGGACTCTAAGCAAGTCCTTGGGTCAGATCCATGTTTACAAGGAGAGGACTGTGTAGAGAGTCAGCATTTGTTCCAGGCCTGGCTTCACTGAGATTCAGGAAAAGAGATGGCTCATGGCCTTGATTGCCTCATCTGGGAAATAAGGATAACGCGGCCTGCTCTGCTGCCCTTCCCAGGGAGCTGCAGGAGTGTTCTAGAAATGGTAAATAACCGTGTGAATGTTTAAGAAAGAATGTAATGATCTCTCTGAACCTCAGTTTCTCCGCTGGTAAAAATGGGACTTCCCCTCCCTCCTGCCTCTCTGAAAGCCTAGAAGAAAGATTCCTTTTAAAGCCAGACTGACGCTCAGCAGTTGAGGGTCTGCCTTTGGCTCAGGGCATGATCCCTTGTCCCGAGATCGAGTCCCACATCAGGCTCCCTGCATGGAGCCTGCTTCTCCCTCTGCCTATGTCTCTGCCTCTCTCTGTGTCTCTCATAAATAAACAAAATCTTAAAAAAAAAATAAATAAATAAAGCCAGACTGACCCAAGAAACTCTGCTTTATAAAATGGCCAAAATAGGTGGTTTGGGGGCAGATTATGTATGTTGCAGATCAGGATTGTCAGACAACATAGCAATTTTGAACTTAATAGCTGTGCAGAGTCCCTTTATGCACAGATGCTGAAGATGGGAGCTTGAGAATGGCATCTGTGTTCTTCCTTTATCCCTAACTCACCTCCCCCAACCCCACTCCTGCCACTCGAACCGCAGTGGAAAACACATGGGGAGCACAGGGCCACAATCCCTACCCTCAAGTGTTCAGCAGAGCTATATATGTTGATTTTTCTTTCTCTGCAGGGATGGAACCACAGACATCACCAGAACAGTCCACTGGGGGACCCCCTCGGCTTTCCAAAAGGTAAGCATTCCCAGAACTCCCCTACCCACCTTTCCTCAAGGGACACCCAAGCAAACACTCCAGCAAGAGCCCTTCATTTTACAGAGGCTGAAACTGAGGCCCAGAGAGGTTAAGTAGTTTGCCCGGGGTCACACAGCAAGTTAGAACCAGAGAACCCAGGGCTCCTAGCTACTTACCCATAGATAGTTCAGGCCACCAGCGGGGCCTCAGCCCCAGCTCATCATCATTCCATTTCAGTAAATCTGTGAACAAATATTTACTTAGTGCTGTCTGTGTGCCTAGCCCTGTATGGAGCAGAAAGGAGGGGAAAAGGATTCCAGGCACTAAGAAATAGCACAGGCAGTCTCAGAGGTGGAGGTAGAAAGGGGCTGGAGGTTTTCAGAAAGCAGCGAGGGCTGACCCACCTGGAGCAGAGGCTGGGACATCCTCTATGTGTCCCGGGGACCTTTGGGTGGGTGGGGAACAGGGGGCCACATTCGTGCATTCAGCAAGCAGACTGTGGCTCAGACATGGTGCTGGCAAAAGAGAAAAAAAACCAAAGCCGGCCAGGCCTCAAGGAGCTCACAGTTTAGTGGCTTGCGTCCACTGCCCCAGGCTGTTGTGCACAAGATGACAAGCCTGTGTGTGTGTGTGTGTGTGTGTGTGTGTGTGTGGTGAAAGGGATTTATAACATTGCCCCAAGGAGCAAAGAGGTCACTCACTGGCAGCCCACTTCCCTCCCTTTATCCACAAGGTAAACCAGCCCAGCCAAGCAAGGCTGACCTGCCAGATTATGAAGCCCCAACCCAAACATAAGGCCTTAAGCAAATCGAAGGGTAATCATAATAGTGATAATGGCTCTGCCCCGTGTTTGAACATTTACTCTATTTGAAGCACCTTGTATGCCATGAGTCTACCTAATTCCTCTCAACAACCTCATGAGCTGGTACTGTGATCATTCTGTTACAAATAAGGAAACTCGCCCAAGGTCTCAGAGTTTGTGAGTGGCCAAGTCAGGATTCTAGCTTGGGGAGTTTGGCTCTTGGTCCACCACCATTTATAAGCGTCCCTTGGGAACCAGCCAAAGAGAATCATATGGACCAAGCTCCAGCTTTTTGATGGGTCCCCCTCAGCTGCCTCTGGCTATTTTACAGAACTGGGGTGACCACATGTGAGCCTGCACCTCCCCCAACACAGCCCCCCTGTAGGCCTAGGCCCACACATAGCTGGAAACTCCTAGGATTCTCCTCTTACGCACCACGTTACCACTCTCTCTCCTCATCAGGAGGCATACACCCGCGTGTTGATAGGAAATATCGATCTGTCCAGACTCGTCTTTCCTGCTAGTACATCAGGTGGGTTTTGGAAACCAGGCTGGACCCAGAGACTCACACCCTGATTTCACTGGACCCAGGCTGCCACCCAGGAAGGCTAGCAGGGCAGGAATTTTATTATCATTGCATCCATTGTATAGATGAGAAAATCCAGCCCAGAGAGTGAAAGTAACTTGTCTAAGGTCACACAGAGGGTTGTTGGGAGAGCCAAACCTTGAACCCAGGCATCCAGCCTCCTAATCTAATATTATAGCTCAGAGGGGAGGGAGAGGTCACTGTGGGTTACAACAGTCATGGAAGGATTCTTAGAGGAAGCAGATATCTTGATAGATGGGGAGAAACTCTAGTAGAGTCATCAGTCCAGGTAATTAGGTACAATGTAGGATGTGCTGGAAAAAGCACATGCTAAACTGCCTCTCAGGAGTGATTCTCCAGAAGTACCATCTTGGTAGTTAGCTCTGGGACAAGAGAGCAGGAAAGGGCAAAGCAGATAGTCTGGGGTTCAGCTAACTGACTGGGGCCATCTCTCTTCCAGGGCGAATGATGGAGATATTTGCCCGAAGAGCCTTGTGGGATGTTGGGCTTAATTATGGTCATGGAACAGGCCATGGCATTGGCAACTTCCTGTGTGTGCACGAGTGTAGGTGTCTCTTCTACACTTCTCTGGGTCCCCCCCTCCATGAAGGAGGTAGAACATTTCACAGGTATGGTAATGACTAAGACCCACAAAGATGCAGTGACTCACCCAGGGTTATCCAGCTGGTAGGAGGTGATGCTCCACAGGGTAAGTGAGAAATGGTAGCAACTGGCCCTTCCTGCTGCCTGCTTGGTATCCAGGAGGGCCTCAGATAGGAGTGGCAGGTCAAGGCCTAGGGGCTGGCTGGCATAGATGCCAGAGAAATAAAAAGCAGAGACAGTCTGGTCCCCATAGCAGCCCCAGGTAGACAATGATGTGGTGGACAAGTGCTGCCAGAGATGCCCTAGGGTTCCCCAGTTATCTGGTCCTCCCCAGAGCCTGCTAGTTTCCAAGCTGGTGAGTATGGGAGAATTGACACCATGCCTACATCTCCTTTTCCAGGGCCAGTGGGATTCCAGTCTGGCAACATCCCCATGGCCAAGGGCATGTTCACTTCCATCGGTACGGCTCTTGGGTTCTTCTACCCCCTCTCCACCCTAAGACTAGCCCAGAACTGCAGTCTAGAGAGCACCAGCCTTCAGGGAGCTTGCCAAGCATGGACCCCTCTGGGCTCCAGCACTCCCAGCCCCAAGCACATTGTCTCCCCCCGAACCCTAAAACCCTTCAGCTCAAACACCTTATTTTGCCCTTGGGAGTTGGTTCCTGGCTGTCCAAACTCTGGAGTCTCCAGTCAAATGCTGGGGTAACAGGACAGTAGCACACCAGGAGATGGGAGTGCCTCCACGATTGAAGTAAGCTCTTAAGTCTTCCCTGCTGGGCTACAAGGCCTAGCAAGTTACCTCCGCGTGGTCTGTGGTGGGCCTGCCCAAGCCAGGGGCAGCCAGGCAGCTGGGTCCTCCAGCCACTCCTCGATTGGTACAGGAAACACGGGCTTGAATCCTCCTCCTGCTTAATACCACCAGCATCTCTGTGTCTCTTAGAACCTGGCTACTATCAGGATGGAGAATTTGGGATACGTATTGAAGATGTGGCCGTCGTGGTAGAAGCAAAGACCAAGGTAAAGTGCTTCTGAGACAAGCTAGAGCTGTAGACATGGCAGTGACTGCATGGCAGTGACTTTGGAAGGCTGAAGGAAAGAGGCATTTTATTGATGGACATGAATTTATTTGGAGTTTCCTCCACTCCAGAAAAACCCCATAACTCAGAGTTTTTCAAACCTGTTTGCACATTATAATATCAGCATCAGCGGAAGAGCTTTTTGGTTTTAATGCCAATGCCCAGGTCCCACTCTAGACCAAATGAATCAGTATCCCTGCCCTAAGTCATTGGTTCTCAAGGTGCAGAGTAATCACCAGAAGAGCTTGTTAGATGTAAAGATGCCCTATATTAGCAACCAACAGTATAAAATATCTGCATATAAACTTTAAAAGACTTATGTGGAGAAAATTGCTACAGAGGGGCATAAAAAAGATTTAAGTAAATGGTGCTCTCTGGAAGAGACACCTCAATATCATGGAGATGTCATTTCTCCCAAAATTAATCTGTAAATTCAAGACAACCTCAATTTCAGTGCTAAATGGATGCTTTTGTAATTTCACAAAATGATGGCAAAGTTTACTTGCAAAAATAAGCATGCAAAAATAGCTAGGTAGTTCGGAAAATTCTGCAAAAGAAGATCAATAAGGGAAACTAGCCTTTTCAGATATCACCCCATACTCTGAAGCTGCTGTAACAAAAACAGTATGGCACTAGAGATGGGAGAGACAGATGTAACGGTGGAACAGAATAGCTAATCCAGAAATACATCCTCTAATTTCTTTTTTTAGAGGTGACAGAGGGGCAGAGGGAGAGGAAAAAAGAGAATGCTAACCAGGCTCCACACTGAAGGTGGAGCCTGATGCAGGGCTTGATCCCACAGCCCTGAGATCGTGACCTGAGTCCAAATCAAGAGTCGGATGCTTAGCCAATTGAGCCACCCAGGGACCTCCCCAATTTCTATAAACAAAATGGGGATTTAATTTATAATAAAGCTGGTGTTTCAAAACAGTGAAGACGAGAAAGATTTAATAAATGGGCAGGGGGAACAAATGGCCAATCGTTCTGGGGGGGGGCTATAAAAGTGAAAAAAAAATAAAGTGAAGAACCTGACTGGTACCCCAAAATAAAATTCTGAATGGATCAAGATTTAAAGGTAAAACCATCAAAGATCTGGAAGAAAATCTATATTAATTCATTTATAATCCCAGGGTGGAAATGGGCCTTTCTATGCAAACCCCAGAAGCTGTGAAGAAAAAGATTGATAAATTAAATGCGAAACTGTCTATATAGAAGGGCGTCTGGGTGGCTCAGTCAGTTAAGCATCTGCCTTCAGCTCAGGTCATGATCCCGGGGTCCTGAGATGGAGCCCTTTGTGGGGTTCCCTGCTCAGCCGGGAGTCTGCTTCTCCCTCTCTCTCTGCTGCTCCCTCCACTCATGTGCGCAGGCTCTCTTTCTCTCAAATAAATAAAATCTTCTTAAAAAATGTTTACATGGAAACAATACCATAAACAAAGTCAAAAGATGTATGACAAATAGAGCATGCACAACGGGGAAAGCGTGCATTTCCTTCTTTTACCATGAGCTTTTTACAAATCAGTAAGACAGAAGCAGGGAAAACAGAATTAAAAACAGGCAAAGGGCATGAAGAGGCAACTCACTAAGATCAATACAAGTGACCCATAAGCATGCAAAGATGCTCGACTTTATTCTTAAAGAAACACAAATCAAGTCAGCAATAGATGACCATGTTTCACCTGACTGGCAAACAATGAGAGATTTTGATGATACCCAGGACTGGTGAATCTATGAGGAAACGGGCCCTCTCACGTACTGCTGGAGGAAGTACAAATTGATACAATCTTTCTAGAGGGCAATTTGACAACATCCATCAAAATATCTATTTAAAATGCCTACACCTTTCGTCCCAACAATCCCTCTGCCAGATATGTGTCTTCTGGATCTAGTCCCAGAAGGTCCCATCAAGATACATTGATGTGGATTGTAGCATCGATGGTCATAGTAAAAAACGAAGTGGAAACAGCTTAAGTATCCACCACTGATGAAATAAATCATCATCTGCATACATGGGCCCTTACGCAGCCCTTAAAAAAAGAATGAAGTAGGGACGCCTGGGTGGCTCTGCGGTTGAGCCATTGAGCCTCTGCCTTTGGCTCAGGGTATGATCCTGGAGTCCTGGGATCGAGTCCCGCATTGGGCTCCCCACAGGGAACCTGCTTTTCCCTCTGCCTATGTCTCTGCCTCTCTCTCTCTGCGTCTCTCATGAATACATAAATAAAATCCTAAAGAAAAAAGAGTGAGGTAGCTATCCCTGTGCTAATATGCAGCGCTCTCCTACATTTACTATTAACAGGGTGTAGAGAAGGTGCAGAAAAGCATCTGGTAGGATCCGTTTTCTGTGGATTGAAACAGTTAATTAATGGTTAATTACCACATATGTCTTAAATGTTTTCAGGAAGGAAACCGGGCAGGGAGGAGACTTGCCATTTTTATTGGGTATCTTTTTGTAGTTTGAACTTTTGAAGCACAAGCATGCAAGGGATCTCTGGGAAATGGGAATTATGGCCTATTTGTTCTTCTTTATACTTCTCTCTATAGATACGTCAGTTGACAGACACAAAGAAGTTTGGATATAGAGAGAGAAATAGATAAAGACATAGATTAGATAGATATGAAAACCTAATAACTTATCTTAAAATCATTTAAATGTAGGTTCCCAGCCCTGTACTAGAAGGTTGTCATTCCAGTGGTCTGGGGGGTGGACCCTGGAATCTCTGTATTTAACAAGCCCCTGTGGTGCTGTAGATGCACACACTTAGAGACAGGCAAGCCTAAAAAGCACCAGAGGTGAGGTGCTGAGTGGCAGACCAGGGTGAGGGGAGGTGGATGAGGGGATGGTAGGTTCTGGCCTACCTGGAGTCTCAGGCTTGACAAGGGTCAGTTCCCTGTGCCCATGGCTTCTGAGTGGAGCACTCCCTCCTTCCCTTCAGCCAAGCATGCTCTACTCACTCAGTCTCCTGCTTTGCCACCTCCCCTGTGGCACCCCAGTATCCAGGGTCCTACCTGACCTTTGAAGTGGTGTCTTTGGTGCCCTATGACCGGAACCTCATTGATATCAGCCTGCTGTCTCCCGAGCACGTAAGTAACATTCAGCACTGGCCGTCTTTCAGCCCATAAGCTCCTGACTGCCTTCTTCCCAACTCTGCACCTCTCTTGCCTCTGCTCCCCCTACCCCAAGACCTTCTGCCACTTCTCCTCCCCTGGGAGGATCCACACTGTTGCACACACCGGGTCATCCCTCCTCTACCCACCAGAGACCCCAAAGCTTCTAGAACTCTCTGGTCATACCAACCTGCCAGGTAGTGAACTCCTGGGGAATCTGAGACTGAATCTCTGGACTCTGCCTCCTCAAGTCCTAAAATAAGCCTTGGTCCCTTCTTATGTAAAATGGAGTTAATAATGCTTGCCCGACTTTCATTCCTGGGCCTGAAAGTCACTCCCATCCCCACCCACCCCACGAAGGTTCACTGTGACACTAAACAGCCACTCGTGAATTGCCTCTGAAAAGCCCCAGAGAATGCCTGTGGCCTGATGACGGCTGGTGCCCCGGGGTGATCTGTGCACTCCCTGTGGGCAGCTGGGCCAGGGTGGGCAGCCGGAAAACCATAGGATGGGACTGGCTGGCACCAAGACCTCATCTCTTGGCAGCTCGGCCTGGGGAGGCCCTCACCCCTCGTTCCCTTTGCAGCTCCAGTACCTGAACCACTATTACCAGACCATCCGCGAGAAGGTGGGCCCAGAGCTGCAGCAGCGCCAGCTGCAGGAGGAGTTCCAGTGGTTGCAGCGGCACACGGAGCCCCTGTCTGCCAGGGCCCTGCGTACTACCTCTTTGGCTCCTCTGTTGGTGGTCTCCTCTCTTATCATCCTTGGCTGGAGTGTCTAGAGGCTCAGACTGGCTGGCCAAACCTCTAGCTCAGCAACCCTCAGCCAGCAACACTCACGCCCCAAGAGCCCCCACCAGCCCATTGCGCAGGAAACCATTGCCTTCAGCCTTCTTTTCCAGAACTAAGCCCCAGGGACACAGGGCTTCTTGGCCCCAAGCAAGCCCCCTCCAGGCTTGTACACCTCACCCTGGGCTCCCGACCCCCAGCCCTGGGATAGGAGAGCCGGCTAGTTGCTTTCCTCCTGTGAACCCAGTAAGCACAACCTATAACCTAGCAGAGCATCTTACCACCACCCCCATGCAAAACCAATCTAAGGCAGTACCCGACTCTCAGGGGCTCCATGGCCTTGAAGAGCCCCACCCTATCGCCACCTGCTGGATATAGTCAGAGCTGTTCCCACCCCTACCGGCTCCCGACTTGTTGGTCTTTCCACACCCTTGAAGCTGCGTCTGACCATCCCAACCTGCCCTTGGCCCTCCAGTGCCCTCCTGGCTGCAGTCCACAGGCTGAAAGAGCAAGGGCTGCCTTTAGGCTCCTTGCTGTGACTGGAGAGGCAGAGGAAGGGAAGGTGGCTGAGTCTTCTGGTTGCATACTGCCACCAGGAAGGCCAGCCAGACAAGGGGCATGGACAGCAACCTGCCCCACATGTGAGCTCATCACTTCTAAACCCTGGGTGGGCTCCATGCCAATTGACAGGACAGGGAGTGAAACCATTACAATTTGGCCATGGGGTAGGAGGAAGTATGGAGAGGATTCTGGAACATGACCCTACCCAAAGTTGATAACAACCTCAGCAGCAGGGCCCAGTCACTATCCCTGACTTGCCAGCACATGCGGAACTCTTTTAAGTTTCCAAAATGCAGCTACAGTGGCAAGGCTGTCAAATCCTCCAGCATCCTTGGATGGTCTTTAACCTGTGTGGGCTAGCTGAACCTGTGTGAGTCTGCTTTCCCCATTTTCCAAATAGGAAGACTGAGCTCCAGATGGGTGGGACCTCTCCAAGGACACACAGTATTTGATTGGGACCTGGTGGAGCACCATGTAAAATCCTTTAGCATACCTCCAAGCCCTTCCCAAAGTCACTGAGCCTGCTGTTGGGGGCAGGGCAGAGGGGAGGGAGGGAGAGTTTTCTTTGGTCAGCCCTGCCGTTAGCCACCTGGGCTTACATCCTGCTAGATGCTTAAAACAGCATGGCAATGAAGCCTGCCTCTGGGTTTTGCATTGCGTCTTCTGTATTGCTGGGGACTGCTGTTACCTGTGGCTTTTGTGGTGGGGGAGGAAGGGGAGGGGATAAGGTGGGGGGAGGGATGTGAGGCTCCAAGAAGCTCAGCTGGAGAGCATGTGCTTGAGAATGTGCGTGTGAGCATGCGTGCACATACGTGTGTGAACACTCATCAGCATGCATGCCACGCCCAGCCAACCACCTCCCATGCTAAAAGTCACAGCCTTCTGGAGAGGCTGGAAGGGGGCCTCATGCTGTGGGACTTGTCAAATGTAGTCCAGGAAAGTTGGATGCAGCACCCATGCTCCGCTGGGCACCGTCAGGGGGAGGAGAGAATCAAGTATCCGGGGCTGAGTGCCGGGTAAAGGTGCCAGGCAGAGGAGGCCCCCACCTAGGGCCACTAGGCCTAGTTTGCTGAGTGAGGGTGACCTGTGACTGTTATCACCATGGATGCTTATATCCAAAGGCCCCATCTGGGAGCCATCCTCAATGAGACCCTACAGCACCCAACAGTGGGCCTCAACTTGCTGATTCATTTACTCTCCCACTGGTCACCACACAAAGACAGTTACTAATAATAAAAATTAAAGTTATCACCACCATGATCATGATCATCATCAATGCTACCATTCACTGAGTGTTTCGTTTATACGAGGCACAGTGCTGTATACGCACTTTAAATTCTTTTTAAATTTTACTGTGATAAGAACAGTAAACATGAGATCTATCCTCTTAATACATTGGGTTTTTTTTTGTTTTTTTTTCTCTTAATACATTGGGTTAAGTGTCCAATACATTATTGTATTTTCCCACTCAATCTCCACAACCTCTGAGAAGGTACTTTTACTGTTCCCATTTTACAAGTGAAGAAAATGAGTAAGGCTCATAGAGATTAACCAACTCGTTCCAGGTCACTCTGCAAGAAAATGATAAAAGCAGGACTCACACCAGTCAAATGACTCCAGAACCCACTCTCTCAGAAAAGGCCAGGTGATATGGCATTCACATGCCTCAGAAAACTGAGGCTCAGCCAGGACCACACAGCCAGTGAGTTGGGATTCAGACCCAACTGATGTTCTGCATACCATCCTGCCTCCCCAGGGCCTGCCCACCCAGATCTTTCCCTTTGTTTTTGTTTTGTTTTGTTTTGTTTTTTGTTTTTTTTTTTAGATCTTTCCCTTTGATCCCTGATACCCGCTCCTGGGCTTCAGGTGGGCCATAGACAGCAGGTGGCCCAGGGACCCACTCACATGCTCTCAGCCCAGGGCAGCTCACGTACTCCCCTTTCCTCCCTTCAGTGCAAAACTCAGCATTCTGTGTCATCTCTCCCCTTAACCACCCCTTCCAATTCACCATCACGAGGTTAGGAGCCCTGGCATCAGAAGCACGACGGCAGAGGGGGCTGCTGCCACCCCAGCTCCTCCCTCCCTGGACCCCAGATGGCCAGCACACTGAGCAGCCTGCTGGGAGGGCTTCCCTCGGCACCAGGCAGGGACACATTCAGGACGCATACAGCAAGGCTAATGCCCACAGGAACACTTGAGACATCATTGGGAATTGAGGATAAATAAATGCCCCCCTCAGAAAAGCCCCTTCACCTCTCTGGTCTTCAGTCATCTCTTCTGTAAACTACCTATACCACCTTCCACATGAGGTTATGCTAGAGGTGAGAGAGGCTCATAAGATCCGGATGTGACAGCACTCTGAGCCAGGAAGCCACGCAGACAGGAGATGATAATGATATTCTTTGCTCAGCATGAGTTCAACTCTTGCCTCACCTTTGGAGGTAGGTAAGGAAAAAAAAAAAACAGGATCCAAATTTTATACATAAATCATCAAAACCAGACAGGCTTTTGACCAAGTATCTAATTTGTGTTTTTCCAGCTTCGGAGAGCCTAAAGTGCCTTAGACATGCTACAAGGACAGCCACAGAAAACAGAGCCCCAGCCAAAAGCAGCCTGCGTGGGCTTCCTATAAAATTGTGTTGGAAATAGTTGCAGAGCCAACTTCTGGGGGATTGACCTGTTCAGTCACTTAAGGCCTTGTGCTTAGAAGAGCCCTGTCCAGGGGCACCTGGGGGGGCTGCCTTTGGCTCAGGTCATGATCTCAGGGCCCAGGGATTGAGTCCCACGTCCTCAGGCTCCCTGCTCATCAGGGAATCTGCTTTTCCCTCTCCCTCTGCCCCCACCCCCACTCCTTCCCCCACTCGTGCTCGCTTGCTGTCTCAAATAAATAAATAAATAAATAAATAAATAAAATCTTAAAAGAAAAGAGAAGAGCCCTGTGTTCCACTGTCACTATTTTGAAATTTCTTTTAAATTTTTGAACAAGACGTCCTGCGTTTTCACTTTGTACCAGGTCCTACAAATTCCATAGCCAGTCTGGACTAGGAGATCCATGACCAAAGCAACTTCCTGCAAGATACATCTGTGAAGGCAAGGGAAACAAAAGCAAAAGTGAACTATTGGGACTTAAGATAAAAAGCTTCTGCACAGCAAAAGCAACAGTCAACAAAACTAAGAGACAACCTACAGAATGGGAGAAGGTATTTGCAAATGACCTATCAGATAAAGGGCTAGTTTCCAAGATCTATAAAGAACGTATTAAACTCAACACAAGCAAACAATCCAATCATTAAATGGGCAGAAGACATGAACAGACATTTCACCAAAGAAAACATACACATGGTCAACAAGCACATGAGAAAGTGCTCTGCATCCCTTGCCATCAGGGAAATACAAATCAAAACCACAATGAGATACCACCTCACACCAGTGAGAATGGGGAAAATTAACAAGGCAGGAAACCACAAATGTTGGAGAAGATGCGGAGAAAGGGGAACACTCTTGCACTGTTGGTGGGAATGTGACCTGGTGCAGCCACTCTGGAGAACTGTGTGGAGGTTCCTCAAAGAGTTAAAAATAGACCTGCCCTACGACCCAGCAATTGCACTGCTGGGGATTTACCCTAAAGATACAGATGCACTGAAACGCCGGGACACCTGCACCCCGATGTTTCTAGCAGCAATGTCCACAATAGCCACACTGTGGAAGGAGCCTCGGTGTCCATCGAAAGATGAATGGATAAAGAAGATGTGGTTTATGTATACAATGGAATATTACTCAGCCATTAGAAACGACAAATACCCACCATTTGCCTTAACGTGGATAGAACTGGAGGGTACTATGCTGAGTGAAATAAGTCAATTGGAGAAAGACAATCATTATATGGTTTCACTCATACGGGGAATATAAGAAATAGTGAAAGGGATTATAGGGGAAAAGGAGGGAAAATGAGTGGGAAAAATTAGAGAGGGTGACAAAACATGAAAGACTCCTAACTCTGGGAAACGAACAAGGGGTAGTGGAAGGGGGGCAGGCGGCAGGATGGGGGTGACCGGGTGACGGGCACTGAGGAAGGCACTTGATGGGATGAGCACTGGGTGTTATGCTATATGTTGGCAAATTGAACTCCAATAAAAAATATATTTTAAAAAAAGAAGTATTTGGGTTCCTTTATCTCAAGCAAAATGGCAGAAGAGTCAGATGGATTTGACATATTAGTGTAAAAAACATAATTATTGTTATAGTTATGCCTTATAAATAGTAAGAGATCACCATGTCCTCAAACGGTGTGTGGCCGGTGAGTTTTGTAACTTTTAACAGTAGAAATCCCATGATGTGTGATTTTATGAAAAAGGGGTACTTATCCCCCTAGTCTTTAAGTAAGTGAAATATAATAAGTACTCTTGAAATAAACTTTACATTTTCTTGTGGGGGAAAAAAAGAAAACAAAGACTAAGAAAAAGCGTGTTTTGGGATGCCTGAGTGGCTCAGTGGTTGAGTGTTTGTCTTTGGCTCAGGGCGTGATTCTGGGATGGAGTCCCCCATCGAGCTCCCCACAGGGAGCCTGCTTCTTCCTCTGCCTGTGTCTCTGCGTCTCTCTCCGTGTCTCTCATGAATAAATAAAGTCTTGGAAAAAAAAGAAAAGAAAAAGCGGGTTTCATCCCTTTGATGTACAGATAAGGAAATGCAACAGCAGCCCAGAGAGAGAGAGGGACTTGCCCAAGGTCACGCAGCCCACTGTGGCCACAGCAGGGATGAAATTCCCAGCATCCTGACTCAATTCTGCTGGCTCATCTCTTGCTTTCAGTATGTTCTTCTGTCACTCCCTACTTCCTCTAAGGAGCAAACTGAAGCCAAAGGAGACCTGTTTCAGGTCACACAGCGGTGATAACAGTGGTGATGATGGTTTGGGCTACATTTTGTGATGCTATAAATCCTTTTTGGAATAGGGAAGAGCCTCGGTGAGGTCATACATACATACATACATACTTATATATATACACAGTCTCAATGGTTCACTTTTAAAATAATAACTAAGCCAGTCAGTTCACCTCATTTGCCAGCCAGCTGGCTCGAGTTCCTGAGCTGGGACCACGGAAGGGGTGGAGCTGGCCGCCTTCACCCAGCTAAACCACGTCAGCAGTGAATTTTACCAACTCACTGCGCACTTCCTCAAATCAGTGGTTGGGCGCTTCTGGTTCCCAAAAACATGGAAATTTGAAAGAATCAATAGCAACTGTCTTCCCCGAGTCCATTCTGGGCCCTCCGTCAGTCCTAGGCACTGGGAGCTAGGAGTGGGAGGTGCTCCGGACCATGCCCAGCCAGCCCTTGCCCCTGGCCGGCCCACCTCCTCACTTCCTTGTTTCTTTGTGAAACAGGAACTGAGTGAGCAGCTCGAGTCGGAAGGATGGCTGGTTGAGAAAACCCCAGTGGTCCTTGGCAAGGCCATGAAGCTGGAAAGCTCATTTCCCTCCCAGGGGTCCCTAGGAGTTCTGGATTCCCTCACTTGTCATACCTTCTGTGTTCTACAGTGGCTTGGCCTGAGGGACCCTGCCCTTGGCAAGGTGGAGGCACACGGAATAGGGGCCAGAGTCACCTAGCAGAGATTCAGGTGGGGTCCAGATGAAGTGTCAAAGCAGGTGCCATGGCAAGAGGAGAAACTGTGGGTGGGGCCTGAAGTGAAGTGATACAGTCCCCCACCAGGTACCAAGCATTTTGCATGAACTGTGCACTGAACTGACAGTATTCTCCCTATACCCGTCATCCGGGTAACTCTGGTTACACATACACAATGCACACACACATGCACTCACACTCCCCAAACAAGGCCCACCTTATCACTGTCTCCACAAGAGCGCCTTGCCCAAGGTCACTTGCCCAAGGCCATGCAGCCTGTAAGTGATATATTGTGATTTGAATCCAGTTCTACCTGACCCCACTTCTGAGCGGTGACTTCTGCTCTTCCTCTTCCCTAGACAATTGTCCCCTAGACTGCTCAGCGACCTTAGTCCTTGTAAACTTTGGACACAGTCCTAGGCAGAACAGTCTGGTCCCTCCCAGTATCCCATAGAAAGGCCCTGCAGTGAGCAGTGCCTGTGTTTTTATCTGAGCACCAAAGCCCAGCCTCTTCTTTGCGGTCATTGCCACAGCTGCCTGCAGGTGTTCTTTGTTTTTAAACCGAGACCTTATCAGGAGTTAGAGATTCAGAGATGACTTTCTCTCCCATCAGCCCCTGCTGCCAGGGACTCCCCAATGCTCCTAGAGCTGCAAGCTCTGCATGTATGTCCGTGTACCTGAGAAATGGATGCTTCCTGCCCAGGCTCATCCCCTCCTCTGCCCTTCCCCTACCTGTGCTTTTATTCTTCTCACCCTCCCTGCCTAAGATTACCACCATGAACTCTGCTCGTGGGCTGGCCTTTCCAAGGTCTTGGAAATGCCTATTTCCAAGCGACTGTGTGGTCTCTGCTTGAACATTTCCAGAGACAGGAAGCTCTACTACCTACCCAGGGCTGAACTAGTACCATCTAAATATCAAGAATGTCTGGGCACCTGGGTGGCTCAGTCTGTTAAGCCTCCAACTCTTGATATTGGCTCAGGTCATGATCTGGGGGTTGTGAAGTCGAGCCCGGGTGTGTGGCTCCACACTGGGGGTGGAGCCTGCCTAACATTCTCTCTCTCCCCATCCCTCTGCCTCTCCCCCTCCCTCTTTCCCTCCCATTTGCTCTCTGCTCTCTCTCTCTTTCTCAAAACATATCAATAAGTATTGAAAATGTCTTCCTCAGAAGGAACCCAAACCTTCCATTTCTCTGTTTCCCATCATTCCTGGCCACCCAGAATACAACCCTTCCTCTACATGACAGCTGTTAAAGATCAACTTGCTTCCCCACCCCAACCCTCTAAGCCAAATATTACAGGGGTTGGGTATTCCCCAGGTTGACGGGGCTTCCTATAGATCTCACAAACACACTTAAACAGCATTAGCTATTCAGCTTTTATGCATGGAATCAGACTTCCCGATGCCTTCCACTTTCTCTTCACTCCTACTGCCTGACACAGAGTATTATTTTCCACTAGGTGTGTGTGTGTGTGTGTGTGTGTGTGTGTGTGTGTGTGTGTGTGTTTGTGCATGTGGTTGGGAGAGGTGAGAATAAGAATCATTTGGGAGGTTTAACCAAATATAGATATCCTTCAATACCCAAACTCTTATTCTGTCAAACTAGGATTGTACCCATTCAGAGAGTAAGGGACGTTTACACACATATCTGGGTGCCAAATGCATCAAACATGCCACCCATGATCTTCTACCAAATTAGAATCTGTTCAGGGGTGCAGGTAAGGAGCTGCTCTATGTGAATGCAGCCTACAATAACCTTTGTGTCATTGGCAACCCTGTTACCTACTCTCTGAGGGTTCAGATGGATCTCACTCTCTGTGGACCCTCCCACCCCAAAACACACACATCCTGTAATATTGCTGCCAAATCAAGGCTTTCCTGCCCCATACTTATACTGAGCACATCTTTGCGATAATAATGCCAATTTAAACTGCTCACCTCAGAGGGTTGTATTGGGATTAATGTAGTGCTTGGCAAAGAACAAGTGCTGAGCAAATGTAAGCTTGCCTCCCCCACCTAGCCCTAAGCTCCCAGGTGCAAGGGATTTTGACAACTATTTATTTTGCATGTCTTCAAAGTGCCTGTCCTTTCTGCCAGCCCATTATCGAGTTTGAGGCTGCCTTGTTCACTGCACTACTGATCTGGATCACTTCTTTAGCTGAGGGCAGTGTGTACCTGGAAAGTAATCTATAAAATGTTAATGTATTGCCCAGAAGGGAAACCTGTTTAAAAGGTGTTTAGGGCCCATTAACCAGCTGGAGACTGACCTCAGGGGACTGGGGCCAGGGCAATCTACTGGGAGGGATAAATTGTGGGAAGGCGAGTCCAGATGGGGGAGCCCTGGGCCCCTCGAGTGGGTGGGGGCAGCTGCTGCCAGAGGAGGCACATCTGAAAAGGACAGCGCTGAACATACTTGCCCCCTTCTGTTCTGGGGAGTTCGTCACCTCTCTGCTTCGCTAGAGGTTCCTCTCCACCCCTGCCGCCTTTTCCCAGGCCCAGGGAGGCGGCTACCCAGCACCCCGTTAACTGGCTGCCTTTGAAGGCTCTGCGGTTAGTGTGTGAGCTCGGCTAGCGGCCGTGCTGAGCAAACAGGAAGCGGGGCACATCCTGCATGCCGGTTGGGGGACAAGCCGCCGTCGTGGTGCAGGTCCGGAAGGTTCTGGGGGGGGGCCTCCGGCTCTGACCGCTCCCGCAGCCCAAGCCCCGGGGTGCCTTCCCTGAGCCCCTGCGGCCCTAGCCCGCCCCGCGCCCCGCGGGATCACCGCCCCTGCCCCCACCTACTCCCTCCACCCTGAGGGGGGGGTCCTTCCTGGGCCGCCCGTGGTGGGGGGGGGCGGGGGACGAGCTGGACTGCGGGATCTAGTTGAGAGTCGGCCTGGCAGGGTGAGGACGGAGCCAAGGAAGCATGGTTTCAGCTTGGGGGAGAAGGACTGTGGCTTCCCTGAGCTCACCCACGATGGCTGGATGGTCAAAGGGCGTGAGGCAGGCTGGGGCACAGCGGGGAGGAAGTCACAAGAACATCTTGGGAACAGGGGAGGGCCAGCCCAGGATTTCACAAGCGCCGCACAATGGAAAGCCTTTTAAAAAGATGCACACCTTATACCCCAGTGTCCCCCTGCGGAAGTCTATCCAAAGGAAAAAATTGTGGCTGTGAATATTTACCTTAAGTATATACCACGAAGAGTTAAAAAGAAAAATGAAGCCAAGCGGAGCTCATGGGTGGGGGCCTACTGAAATAATCATGGTAGGTTCAGACCATGGGCTGCTGGGCACCCATTATGAATGTCATAATTGAATATTTTATAGGGTGAGAAAATCTCAGTGATACTGTGTTCAGTATGACAAGCAGATACCAACACAGTTTGGGTGTTTAATTTTTTAATTTTTAAAACTTTACAAATGGCTCTGTTTAGGTATAATCAACCTGCAATAAACTGCACATTTTTTAAATGCGTGATTTGTTTTGGCATATGTATACACGCATGAAACCATCACCACAACCAAGATAGTGAACCTATCGCCCCCAAAAGGATCCTTGTGCCCTTTCTGAACTCTCCCTCTGCTTCCCATCCCTTCAAACAACAGATCTGCTTTCTGTGCAGTATGATTTTTGTAAAATAGAGACAGAGACAGAGAGGTAGTTAAATGCTCAAAAACAGAAAAAGATATTTATCCGAATAGTATGGAAGATCATTATGGAGAATTTTAAAGTTTTCTTCTTTTTGTGTATTTGTATTCACTAAATTACATGTGAAGAACGTGAATTGCTTCTGTAATAAGAAAATCATTGAAGTTATTAAAATATCTGCCACAGATAACCCATGAAGTGAACATTCTAAACCACACACACATTGAAGAAATGCCTCTTGCCTGGGACATTGCTGATGGTATGAAACTGCTTGTGAAAGCACGTCTTTTCCATGGCGATGGCTGTTGTGATGATAAATATACGGGGAGGGGAGAGCCAAGGGGTTTTGACCCCAGGCCTGACTGTCTGGCCAGGATGGCTATAGATGGTGTAAGTGGGGATGGTACCTGTAGGGAGATGGCCATGACAGTGACAGCAGAGGGGGGCAGATAGAGGTGGATGGCTGAGGGGCGTTGACTGCAGGAGTGGCTGCTCTAGCAAGTGGTGGTGATGGAAGTGGGGATGACTGCCACAGTGACCCCTACGGAGGTATCATGATGGCTACAAGAGTGATGATTGTAAGGATGATGGTTGGAGGGGGTCAGATCATTGTGGGGGTCAGATCATTGTGACTAGCTGGAATGCCCATGAGGGTGACAGCCATGAGGCTGACGATGGTGAGGGTGCTAGTTGCAATGGTGATGACTGTGGGGGCGACGGCCAAGGGTGTTCACTGTAAGTATGCTGGTGACAATGGGGATGACTGTAGGGTCATGGCTGTAGGGGTGGTAGTGGTGGTAGCGACAACCTAGTGATGTCAGGTGACCAGGAGCTTTGGTCCAACAGGCAGAGAGAGATGGCCCAACTTCTGGATTCTGGATTCTGGTCAGCAAGGTAAGAGGCTTGAATAGGCCATATAATGTCGAGTGGATTGGTCACCTCCAGGGAGATGAGAAGGACTGGTGCTGATTGACATGAGACATCAGGGTAGGGACTTTTCTCTGCTTGTTCAACCTAAGAGCCATCTGTATCGGAATCTCTGGAGACTGAAGCTGGGACTTCCTTCCTCCCTAGGGGCCGGCAGGGGCTGCGATTGCCGTAAGAGCACGTCACGTGGCAGGGCTTCCTGTATGCTTGCTGCCGCTGGGTGTCCATGGCCTGTACCCCTGAGGCTGCCACTGCAGCACTCAGAGTGGCAGCTAGAGGCTCGGTCCATGCCGTGCCCCCTGGACGGTGCTTGCGAGGCTGAGCAAGAGGACTTGGCATCTTGACATTTAGGATTGCAAGGACGGAGTGTCACCAGGGTAAAGGACCATGTTGCGCCGCAAACCCTCCAACGCCAGTGAGAAGGAGCCCACTCAGAAGAGAAAGGTGAGGAGCATCTCTGGAAACTCACTTTCCCCTTCCCTCTGTTCTCTCCACCCATTCCCTCCAGGACTCTCAGAAGTGGGAAGAGCCAAAGGGGGAGTGTTGAGTCTGTAGGCAAGGGCATTCTCCCAAGGGCAATGGGTTAGGGTCCCCAAGGTTACCATAGTAACAAAAGTATAGAAGAGACTTTCAAAATCTAGAGAATCAGGGTTATAGACACTTAGAAGTCTAGAGTTACAGAATTCAACCCTACAGTGATGGGACAGAGACCTAAAATCAGGAGCTAGAATCCTAGACTAGAATTCAAGAATCACAAAATACACTTCTCAAGTTGCATCATAGGACTGTATTTCATTGTCTCCCTTGCGCTGGTCCTGCCACTGCTTCTGCTCAAGCACCGCCTCTCAGGAGCCATCTCGCTCAAGGGGCCCTACTAGGCCACCCAGATAGGCGCCATGATGCTCCTGGGGCCCCAGCCCTCTGGCCATGGCCAGACTCTGCCCACTTGCTTCTGCTCTGTTGCAGCTCCCCAGGCCCATGGGAGAGGTGGACAACCTGGAGAGGAGGCCCCATGTGATTTCTAGACCCAAGAAACGGGTCTCTGAAAAAAACAGTGGGATGCAGGGGGCATGCAGGTTCTGTCCAGGCAGGGACAAGTTATTTGTGAAAAATGAGAAATGAGAAATAAAGCTGGTGAATTATTATTGGGATCCCTGGGTGGCGCAGCGGTTGGGCGCCTGCCTTTGGCCCAGGGCGCGATCCTGGAGACCCGGGATCGAGTCCCACGTCGGGCTCCCGGTGCATGGAGCCTGCTTCTCCCTCTGCCTGTGTCTCTGCCTCTCTCTCTCTCTCTCTCTCTCTCTGTGACTATCATAAATAAATAATAAAAAAAAATTAAAAAAAAAATAAAGCTGGTGAGATGGAAAGGAAGAGTGAGGGCTGAGGAGGACAGATTCAGTGGAGGGATTCTAAAGGCCAAGAGGAAAAGCAGCTGTCCTGGAGCAGAGGGCAGAGGCCAAACCAGAAGATTTCTTGAAGACTGCCAGATCTAGGTTTCTCTAGTTGGATTTGAGGATTTCTAGACTTATTCTTTTATTTGATTATGGGACTCTCCCAGGCAATCAAAAAATACATTCCACACATCCAACGGGATCCTAGGACCATCCCCAGGCAGGCTTGAACCAAGTCCAAGAAACCCAGGCCTAGCCCCAGGCCCACACTCGGGGTCTCTCCAATCCCTCACTATGTCCTGCTGGTTTCCCTGGAGCTCAGCCCAGGTGCCCTGTGGGGGAGCCCCCTTGTCAGGGGAGCAACTCCCAAGTGGAGATCGAGCCAGCTCAAAGGCTGAGCCGCAGGGCACTGGTGTGTGCATCCTGCGCCCTCTCAGGTCCTGGGGTGGCTGTCACTTCCGGCTGTACTCTCCCCACCCCAGATGCTTCTCTAAAGTTGCAATGGAGGTGGGCAGAGGGGGGTAAACATTCATGAGTCTTCGCACAGGCTCCGTCATCCGCATCCAAGCGCCACTTGGTGCTAGTCCCAACAGACTTGCCACTGGCTGCCACTCCTCGGTGAGCAGGCCCCACTTCCCCTTGCTCTCTGGTTGATGGGGGTGGGAAACAGAGGCTGCTATAGACAGTGCTGAGCCCCAAACCACAGGCAAGCTGAGCTGGAGGAAAGAGCTTGAGAAAGAGCTGACACTTTGACAAGGGGACCCTGTGCCACCTAGGACGGAGATGCCCAAGGGCACCCAGAAGCTGGAGGTCCCCATTTCCTTCCCTGACTCTCATTATCCAGATTCTGTATTTGGTGGTGAGGCCTCTGGAATTCTACCCTCAGGTTCCCCCCAGGAGAAGCAAGGCCGGTGCGGCACTCAGAGGTCCATGTCACTCTAGGGAAAATCATCCAGGCAAGCCCTGCCCCACCCCTACCTGAGCCTGACCAGCCTCAAGAGCCACTCTCTGAGCCCCAATACTGTGGAAAGGTGCTAAGAAAAGCCAAGCTTCCAGGAGTAGAGAGAGCATCTTCCCCAGGCCCAAGGACAGCAGCCCAGCTCCAGCACTGTGACCTCAGGCACGTCCCTTCTTCTCAGTGGCTGAGGGGATGTGGTGGAGGGGAAAGCACAAAGGCAAGTGAGGCCTCTTTCTGTCTCCTGCCCCTCCTCCTCCTCCCAAGCCCGCCAGAAAACAATGTGTTGGGCAGGGGGCATGAAGGGGGGGCGGGGTGTTCAAATCCCACAGGTTCTAGCTGTAGGACCTTGGACAGGTCATTGACCTCCTTTGGGCCTCGGTTCCTCCTTCATCTTGGAAAAGGAGGATAGCTCTTGACTGGCTGGGCTGAGGAGGTTGTGTAGATGGCCTGGAACAATCAATGTGAGAGCGCGCTGTCACGTGTGGGCATCTGCATATGAGAGGGTGCTGTAGGCATGGGCGGGCGCGGGGAGCACGCTGCAAAGGCCAAGTCTCAGTCCTGGCCCTAAAGTGGAGGAAACCAGACTTAAAAGCACCGAGAGCCTGTACTAAGGGAGGACTCATCAGGCGCCAGGTGCCATGCGCTCTACCCATATCTTAGCTCGTTGACTCCTCAGGAGGACCTTGTGAGGCGGGGGCAGGTATTGTCGTTATGTCTGGTTTATGCCCAAGTCCCAGAGAGGTGAAGTGACTTACCCAAGTTCACACAGCTAGTAGGTGGCAGAGCAGGAATCCAAGCCAAGCTTTGTCAGTCTCCAGAGACTTGACCCCTTCTCCCTCTACCCTCCTGTCCCTGCACTGATCCCAGAAGTACTAGGAGAATCTGATGAGCATCAGTAGGAAAGCACACCTCTACATGACACCCCCTCCCGCATATGCATTGTATTTCCAGTGGCTCCTCGTTGCCCCCAGGCTAGTGCCCAAGTTTCTTGGCATGACTGGCAAGGAATCTTCCATGGCTTTTTCTGCTCCACCTCCCACCATGCCGACTATGCTCAGAGTGTTTCTAATTCATTCTTGTTTAAACATTTCCCAGCCCCTCCTGGAGAAATCCTGGCTCCCCTGCATGGCCCAGCTTAAACATGCCTCCTCCATGAAGCCTTCTGGAGCCTTTCCTCCTCCACGCTCCCACTTGCTCCCCTGGAGCCTCCCTTCAAACACCACCCACAGTTTCCATTATGCTCAATCCATTTCTTTACCAGGAGGCACTTTGGTGAGCTCTGAGCACAGCAACACACACACAGGGTTCCAGAGTCCCATATCTGGGTTCAAAGCCCTGCTCTTGCTCCTGCCCGCTGGGTAACTCTGCCTAGGACACTTCGTTTCTGAGTCTTGGTCTCCTCAGCTGGGCAGCAAGGATATAAGTTGGGGCTGTGGTGAAGCTGAGGTAAGCCAGCACACGCAAAGTGGTTGGCAGGGTGCAGGGCACATGGGAGGTGCTTCACCCCTTTCTTACTGGATTCCCACCCACACATGCACAGGCCAGTGCCTGGAGCCCAGAGGGTGCTGGGTATATGAGTGGTATGCTGAAGGAGCAGAGAGGCTAGTTGCAGAGACACCTGGTAAGAGCCAAGTTTGCTTAGGAAGCAGGGGACGAAGATGCTAATGGGGGCAGTGTGAGACTCTGAGGGGGTGATCAGGGGAGGCTTCCTACAGAGGACAGCACCTTCGAAACTGGATTTGAAAAGCCTTCCTGTGGATGTATAATATCCATCCAAAGAAGTGCATAAATTATAAGTGTTCCACTCAATGAACCGTAAGGTGAACATTCCTTCATAGGCAGCACCCAAATCAAGCAACAAAGCACTTTCGGGCTACCTGGCTGGCTCAGTCAGTAGAGGATGCAGCTCTCGATCTCGGGTTGTGAGTTCAAGCCCCATGTTGGGCATAGAGCTTACCTTAAAAAAAAAAAAGCACTTCTGACACTCCAGAAGCTTCTCTCATGCTCCTATCGGTCACTACATACTCCCTTTCCCTAAGAGTAACCACTATCCTAACTTCCAATGGCATAGCTTAGTTTTGCCAGGTTTTGAACTTTTTATATGAGGAACTATATAATGTACTCTGGTGCTGGCCCCTTCTGCTCAACAGTGTATCTTTGAGATTCATCCATATCATTAGTGAGAGCTGTACTAAGCTCACTTCTAGCCACTACTCCCTTCGATGACTCTACAACTCCTGTATCCATTCTACCATCGATGGGCATGTGGGCTGTTTCCAGTTCCATTGGATTTTGAAGGAAGGGAGAAACTAGGGGTGACAGAGAAGGATGGAGTGTTCCAGGTAGGGCACCCCCTGGGCAAGAGTCTGGAGGGGGTCAGAAAAAAGGCTGAGCACACACAGACATTCGCTAAGGGGTTGCAGTAGAGCCTTCTATCCTCACAGCAATCAGTGAAGTAGGCGCTCTTGTCTTCATTTTACCCATGAGGAAATGGAAGCCCAGAGAAGTTGAGGAACTCTCTCCACTTTACACAGCTGGTCAATGGCAGAACCAAGATGTGATTGCCTGCCAGCTGACAGACTCTGAGGGTCAGGGAGGTTAAATGATTTGTCACACATCCCAGAGTTGAACTCACCAACGTCTGATGCCAGGAAAGTAGCTGTTTCTGAGAGGCCCACGTACTCCCCTTGGACATGGAAGAGGGGCCAACAGTGTATGGTACTACCTCCTGCCCTGGACCCCCAAGAAGGCCTCACCCCAAAGGGAAGCCAGGTGGAAAATCCAAGGTGTCTCAAGGATTTCAACTCGAAGATGGGTTGGGGATCATTTCAGGGCCATCAAAAAGCGTTTAGGATATTTGTGATTGCCCCTGAGGTTGGGGGTAGGCCGGGCAAAAGGCCACCCTGGCCAATCCCTCCCTTGGACACCTGAAGCACATATCTAGTCCTTTCCACATCCCGCTAAGGAGAGGCCAGCAGGGTCCAAGTCCCAGCACCACCTATGGCCCTTTGGGGTTGTCTCCTCCTGCTTTGAGCTGAAGCTGGGATACAAGGGCCCTGACGTCAGGTCCCCGGGGGGCCAAAGGTCCTCCTCTGAACCCCCAGCCTGCAGATTAATGACAGGAAGAGGAAAGAACTGCAGCCTGGTGGTGAGTTTACTCTCCCCAACAAAGTCCACTTCTGGCCCTGGGCCTGCCCTCTTGCATGCTCACCAGTCCCTGGGGCTTCTGGGGCGACTCTCAGCCTCCTTGTCTGCAGACCAAGCGGAGGGGGTGGTGCAAAGAAGGCCATAATAGGTCCCATCGGTCTATAAATAGCAGCCCGGCCTGCCCTCCCTGGGCCCTGGCCAGCCTGGTGCCCACCCTCTCTCTGTTCCCTCTTTTCCAGGCAATAAGAGGAGGAAGTTATCCAGGCAGCTGCATCCTAGCCATTCAAGAAGAGGAAATAAACAAAAGGTGGAGGAGAGAAGGGGAAAGAAAGGGAGAAAAAGAGGAAAGAATAGTGGGTGGGGAAAGCCAAGGAAAGACGATGGAGGAGATGCATGGGAACCAGAGCAGTCGCCCCACGGTCATGCTCTCCCGCCATGTCCACTCACGCCCCCCTTACCCAACTCCCCAGCGTAGCCCAGAAGAGGCTTTCTGACTGAGGCTGTAGGTGCCTCATCCAGGAGGCCCTCCTGGTGGTAGTGTCTGCTTGGCCTGACCACTGACCCAGTTTCTGGTCCCCTAACTTGCCGCCACCCCTAGGGAGGTGTGGCCCCTGACCCTGAGAGCTGGCTTGCTTTGGTCAAGACCCACCAAGAGAACAAAAGTCCCCAAGAGTCTCCCCCTACCGCCAGAGGCCCCAGGAATTGGGGCCAATTGTGGGTGGGGGCAGGTGATATTGCCCCTGCCCTGGGGGGTTGTCAGTGGACCCCCCCCTTCATAGGAAAGAGGATGTGAAACTTTCAGCTTTGTGTGGGTTTGGGGCTTCGGTTCCTCAAGCCCTTATCTCTGGTGTCTGCAGTCTATCCCGCTTTATCTGTCTGGCCATCTGTGAACCCTGGTTCCTGTATGTATCTCTGGTCTTGACTGTTGATCTTGATTCGGGCTCAGCCTTCACTTCTTGTATGTAGAGCCTGACTCCTTACCTGCTCAGCCCTGGCTTCTGGCTGCTATCTTGCCATTTGCACGCATATACAGTTAAGAAAGCTCATTTCTTGAAAATAGTCTCTTCAGTGCAAACAATCAGTTGGCTTTAAAAGTCCAAACACTGGCGCAGCACAGCATCAGTAAGCCAGCTCATCGTGTTAGTGGCTAAGGTTAAAAGCCGAGGTGAAGGAAGAAAAAACAGCAACTTTTTTTTTTACTAAATTAGCCCAAATCGGTCACATCCCAAATCTGTTGGCACCTTCCCTTAATAAGCCTTGACTGAAGGTTTCCAGGAAGCATAATGCCAGGTCTTACTGACTCCTGGGGGGGGGGGGATTGCCTTGTTCTTCTGGGGACACAGATTCATCAAGCTGGAGACCTCGATGCATTCACCATTCTTACGGTGACAGGAACATCATGCTTGCCACAGGTCCAGGGCAAAGAGGAGGCTGCGGTGTTGGGGAAGGTTTGCTCTGTTATGTAAATAAAGGTGATGCTATTGTCGCGAAGAGGGGACACCTCTAGTGGGAGCTATGCTTTTGCTCTGATTCACTGCCTCCAGAATTCTGGGGAGCAGACTGCAGGTGCTGGTGGAAATGTGGGCTTTGTCTGAGGCCTGGCTGGGCTTGGAGACTCCTGAGTCTGAGGCTTGCTCTGGGGCCCACATCAGAGTCTACTCTTGGCTGAAGAAGAGCAGGAAGCCAGGTGGCTCCAAGCACAACTTTGATGCTTTACCTCATTAGCCCTGGGTCCTCAGGGCACCTGTGGCGCTGAGTGACACTGTCCCTGCTCTTTACTCCACCGAGCATCACTGACGGCAGCACGTCTGCTTCTTCCAGCTCTCACTTCAGCGCTCCAGCAGCTTCAAGGATTTTGCCAAATCCAAACCCAGCTCCCCCGTGGTGAGCGAGAAGGAATTTAATCTGGATGATAATGTGAGTTGCAGAGCCTCCCAGGGGGATCTGGCTGCTGGCCCTGGGTGGGGGAAGAGGAGATTTGTGGATTGTTCAGGAAAGCCGGCTTACAGAAAGCCAACCCTTCTACCTCCCAAATTTGGGCCCCAAGAATTCCCCCACATTCTTTGCAATTACAAGTTACAGTTGACCCCTTGAACAATCCGGGTTTGAACAGCATGGGTCCACTTACAGTTGGATTTTTTCAATAAATACAGTGCAGGACCATAGATGTATTTTGTCCTCCCTACAATTTTCTTAATAATGTTTCCTTTTCTCTTGCTTACTTTATTGTAAGAATACAGTATATAGTACACATACATACAAAATATGTGTTAATCCACTGTTTATGTCATTGGTAAGCCTTCTGGTCAACAGTAGGCTATTAATAGTTAAGTTTTGGGGGAGTCAAATGTTATACATGGATTTTCATCTGTGCGCAGCAGTGGGGAGAGTTGGCACCTCCAACCCCGTCGTTTGAGGGTCAACTGTAATTGTCAAAATAATTACAAATTAATAGGGCTGAGTATGGGACAGGGTGGGGGCTAGGAGGGAAGGGATGGGGGGCCTCTCATTCCCACCCCACATTCTCTACTAGGACCTGAAGGCCTCCTTCTGCCCCTAAATCCTGGACCTCCTCCTTTGTTGTCACAGATTCCAGAAGACGACTCAAGTGTCCCTACCACAGAAGATGCTGGGAAGAGTGGCAAAAAGCTGGGGAAAAAGTGGAGGGCCGTGATCTCCCGAACCATGAACAGGAAGATGGGCAAGATGATGGTGAAGGCCCTGTCAGAAGAGATGGTGAGGCTTGCAGTGCGGGGGAGGGGAGGGAATGGGAGGGGACAGGCAGTGCTCTGGCAGGGTGTGAGCACAGCCACCTTGCCGGCCATACCTCAGGTACTGTGCTTGAGGGCCTGATTCCATATGAGAAGGAAGATCCCAGGACACCCGGGTGGCTCAGTGGTTGAGCATCTGCCTTTGGCTCAGGGCATGATCCCAGGGTCCTGGGATGGAGTCCCGCATCGGGCTCCCCATGGAGAGCCTGTTTATCCTTCGGCCTATCTCTCTGCTTCTCTCCTCTCTCTGTGTCTCATGAATAAATAAAATCTTTTTAAAAAGAGAGAGAAGGAAGGTCCTATGAGAGGAGAGCTCACTCAGCCACGGACTGGCAGTGAGGCACTTCCCAAGGGAGCACGAGGGGGTCTGAGGGGGTATGAAAGTCTGCATAACAGAAGCTTCCTAAGAAGACAGGCCTGAAGGGGGAGTCACTGAAAAGGATATGGGATTGCCTGATGCGAATTCATTCACCTCAAAGTTTTGCTTGGAACTAGCCTCTGGTATTGGGAAGACTGGATTGGAAGAGTGGCCCCAGTGCGAAAAAATAGAGAAGGCTGGCTGGGGCCCAGGGAGAAAGGGTGGAACACACAGTGAGTGGCCTGTGCTCTGGGCTCTTCCAGAAGGTTCCCAGGTGGTGGTGTGCCATACCAGCTCAGGACAGCAGTTGGTCAAATTTTCAGGAATTTTGTGAGGCAGGTGTGAAACCCCACCATTACTGAAAATTAAATTCTATAAACTTAGAATGAAAGAAATTATGTTAAAAATAAAGAGACTACGGTCCATCTTCCAAACTCATGATTTCCCAATTCTTAGACTATGGTTCACTGATCTCTGTGCTCTTGTGGTTATTAGCATCTACGGCCTCTGTGTGGTGGAATCAGCCCACAGAGGGGTGCTGGTGGGTCAGTGACCTCACAGCGGTAGCTGGATGTTGGCAGCGGTGGGGAGTATTTACAACACAGGAATTGGCATCCGGGCTTTGATTCCTAGAGAGCCACTTGTGAAAGGGCTGCCACCGCCCTGAGGGCTGGTGAGGCAGAGGAGCTCTGGAGTCAGGCCAGCTCAGTTGTGGGTTCCTGTGCAGCCTTGGGAACATTTCTCCATGACTTCTCCTCTGTAAACTTGGAATTATCGCAGCACTTACCTTCAAGTATGGCCGTGAGGATGAAATGAGCAGGCAAGCATGCCTGGCTGGCCCAGAGGAGCAGGGCAGAAAGTAGTTCCTGGCCAGTGGCCCCTGTGTGTGGGACTCTGCCCCAGTCCAGCCTAAGTCCAATGTGTGGACATCACCACTTTATGCTGACAAAGCACATTCACCCGCGCCCCCATTGCATGAGGTCAGTGGGGTGAGGACGGTCATTCCCACTTCACAGAAGCAGGAACATGGGCTCAGAGAGTGTGGTGCAGCCTCTAAGTGGCAGAGCGGGGTGGGGGGGTGCTCAAGCCAGACCCCAGTCCTCTGGAGAGCTCAGGCCCGTTTCTTCTGTGCCCGGCGCTGCCCCATGGGCACCCCGGCCAGGGCTGCTCAGGGCTCCCTGCCTCCCCTCCCCTGCAGGGAGACACTCTGGAGGAGGGCTCCGCCTCCCCGACATCTCCAGACTGCAGCCTGGACAGCCCCAGCCCTGAGAAGATGGCACTGGCCTTTTCTGAGCACGAGGAGCGAGAGCTCCCAGCACTTAGCCGTCAGGCATCCACAGGTGAGTAGGAGACAGAAGGGGACATCTGCTAAGTCTGGAGAAGAGGACTGGGTTAAGGCCATGCAGGTGGCTGTCTGGGAGGGAGGTAAGAGAAATGAACCTTTACAGTTTGCCTTCTGGGAATTTGCCCAGCCCTTGTCATGTTACATTTTTACAACTGCATGGTACCAACGCTACTATCCCCACTTTATTGATGTGAAAACTGAGGCTCAGGGAGGTTTTCACTTGCCCAAGATGACTCAGTCTTGAACATAGGTCTACCCTACAGGAGCTGCCACTTGCTGTCCCCAGGCCCTGGAGGGGCCCAAGGGAGAGGAAGAGCTCCATTGCCTTCTTGGACTAGCCCATCCCCACCTTTCCAAGGGGAGCTAGAGGCTACAGTCACCTGGGCCTCTGACATCCCAGGCTGGGGATGGGGATAAAGGGTCTCCAGCTGGGAAGACAGCCTCTTAGCCCTTTGGTTCACTGGGCTCAGGGCATGATTTGGCATCTTCTCGGTGTCTGTGGGGTTGGGCAGGAGGGGCTGCAGGCTCTGAGCTACAGACCCACGGAGGAACTGCCCTTCTCACTCTTCAGGCTAGTTCTAACTTCTGTGCTCTTTCACTGGCTCCACATACACCTCCCAGCCCCTCCCTACTGAAAGCCACTTACAAGGCCCTTCATCCCGCCCTTCCCAGAGAGAAAGAGACCATCTGAGTTTCCATATGATGTTGTAACTAGACATTGAGTCTTAGTAAGTACAGAAAGTAAAATATTAGTTTAGGGTGTGTTTTCCCGGGTGGAAGGTGGCTTCCAGGAGCACTGGAGTGGGAGTCAGAAGACCTGGAGTTGAGACCAATTATAAGGTGAGAGGTCTTGGGCTCTCAGTTGGCCTGGCTGGCTTCTGTTTTCCTTATCTGTTCATTGGGTTGTTGAACCAGTCTCCAGAGGTTTTCCCAACGTGCTCATTCTTTAGTCCCATTTCTCCTGCTGTGGTCAACGATTTTCATGTCTGAGGCCCCACAGATGAAGCTGTGCTTCTGTATGGTGGCCTTGGGATTTCTAGCCACAGCCCTTGGAAGGTACCTCCTGGGTACTGCCCCAGCTGTCTTGGGACAAAGGTGACCCTCCTCCCTGCCCCATCTCCTGCAGGCAGTGAGCTTTGCAGCCCCAGCCCAGGCTCTGGCAGCTTTGGAGAGGAACCACCTGCCCCCCAGTACACAGGGCCCTTCTGTGGCAGGGCACGAGTCCACACCGACTTCACTCCCAGCCCCTATGACCATGACTCGCTGAAACTGCAGGTAAGGTTGGCATCTAGGCCTCTCCCAAGCATGGCAGGCTGTGCCCACAGAGGAGGCTGTATTGCACCAGAGTAGGACGATGTCGGCAGAAGCCAGGAAATACACTTCTCCTCTGTGCTCCTGTCTTCCCACAGAAAGGAGATGTGATCCAGATCATTGAAAAGCCACCCGTGGGCACATGGCTGGGCCTGCTCAATGGCAGGCTGGGATCTTTCAAGTTCATCTATGTGGATGTGCTGCCAGAGGAGGCCGCGGGGCCGGCCCGCCCCAGCCGCCGACAAAGCAAGGGCAAGAGGCCCAAGCCAAAGACTCTGCACGAGCTGCTGGAGCGCATAGGCCTAGAGGTTTGAGCTGGGACCTGGGCCCGTCTCAGAGCAAGGGAGGCGCACTTGGCCTGGGGCTAGAGGCCGGGGCATGGTCAGCTGTGTGGGAAGGGAGGGATCCCAATGCAGGGGTGGCTGGCGAGTGGCCACACCCTGGTGGTCCACCTCTGCCCGCAGGAGCACACGTCCACCCTGCTGCTCAATGGCTACCAGACTCTAGAGGACTTCAAAGAGCTTCGAGAAACGCACCTCAATGAGCTGAACATCACAGACCCACAACATCGAGCCAAGCTGCTCACAGCCGCCGAGCTGCTGTTGGACTACGACAGTGAGTGGGCTCAGGAGGAGGATGTGGGGGTGCCTGCAGGTACTGGGGGGGAGGCCTGCCCCCTGACCACTCTCAGCCCCAGCACCCCTCTGCAGCGGGAAGGCACTTTCCGCGCTTGAACTCCAGTCTCAGGCAGTTTACCCACAGAGGGGCCTTAAGGGATGATCGGGTCCAACTCCCTTTGGGACTTAAGGCCAGAGAAGGTAAGGCATGTCCTCAAGGCCTCAAAGTTGGGGCTATAGCATGGCCAGGAATCAAGCGCAGGTTTCTGGGCTCCCAGCTAGGGGCTGAAGAAGGCTGAGCTCCTGCCTGGGTTGCCGCTTAGAAACCACTCCCACTCCGTTCTAAGCCAGAAAGAGTGAGCAGGGCAGGGAAGGAGGGAGCCCGGAGGGAGGACTGCCTACAGGGGACTTCCCAGGGTCCCTCCCATCCCCCCACAGGGGCTCCCTGGGCTTCTGAACCCCCTCTCAGCTAAGGCCCAAGCCTCCCCCACCCCAATATTCCATCTCCTTCCTTTCCCCCAGCAGCCGGCAGCGAGGAAGCGGAAGAGGGCACCGAAAGCAGCCAGGAGCCAGTGGCAAACACTGTGTCTGAACCCAAGGTGGACATTCCTCGAGACTCTGGCTGTTTCGAGGGTTCAGAGAGCGGACGTGATGAGGTGGAGCTGGCGGGCGCTGAGGAGCAGCTGCACGGCCTCTCCCTGGCCGGGGCGCCTTGAGGCGGAGGTGGTGGCATGGCCGAGGCTGGGCCCCAGAAGCAGAGACTGCAGGGATGGGCCCAGCCTCCCACGGTGGCCCAGACCCTGGTGGACTGGTGCCGAGCCCAGCCCTGCTCCTCTGGGAGTGCCCAGGGCTGCAGGGGCCGGCCAGGGCCCTGTAGGCTCAGCCGCAGTGGATGAGGAGTCACCCAAGGGCACATCCCACCTGCCCAGCCCCCTCCCTCCACCAGTTACGGACAGCACAGAACAGAACGTCTAAGCACCACCTGCTCCTAGCCACAGCGAGTGGGACACTGAGGGGCCACCCTACCCATGTCCCTCACCACCCAGGCCCTCAAGCCCCCCTCACCCCCACACCACTTTCCCTTGTCACACCGCTCCTGAAACAGGGGCCCAGTGTTTCAGGTCGGTTTCAGAACCCTGGGGAAGCTGGCCCTTTTAGAGGCCCCAAACTGATCACGGGTAGATACCCACTTCCCCAAACAAGGCTTGGAAAAAGCCACATGCATGTACCTTTCCCTCATTCCTTCTCCTTAACTTTCTGAAAGGCTTGGCCACTAACTGGTGAGAATTACAATGGATATTGCTGACAGTGTGGCCAGCTCGGACATTCTGTGACATTGTCTGCTCTTCTGTTACCTGTGGCCCAGGACGCCAGTGGGGTTTACTGGAGGAGCTGAAGGGGCTTTGGGCTCCCAAATGAAATGGCTCCTCCCACTTATTCATTCTGTACCTCCCCACATAACTCAAGCCAAGCTGCAACTTCCCCGGCTGAAAACAATGCCCAGACCTCATACAACATGCAGCCTCCCCTTCCACTCCCAGCCCTGGCCAATGACACTTCCTCTGAAGGCTGATGGCAGATCGCCAGACCTGACTTCCAAGGACAGAACTGCACCCTGGAAGTCACACGCAAGTCTGAACTCAGACTTGGCCACCTGTACGGCTTCTTACAAGCAAAGAAAGCACGAAGCTTGACACTGGGGAGCCCACTCCCCCAACTTTGCTTTGCAAAAGGTTTTGATGTACCCTGAGTTCCAGAAGGGGGGGGAAGTATACCTGTCAGTGGGGGCCTCCGGTGACCTCAGTACCCAGACTGTGCCCTGAATTCACAGAGTAACCCAGGAACAGTGCCCACTACATCTAGGACTGCCTGCTTAGTGAACACACCCCTGGACCTACTCTGAGGAAATTTGGTAAAAGCTAGCTTAGGGGAAGGGCTTGGTGTAAATATGACGGGTTGGAGGGGGCTAAGTTGGCAGCAATAAACATAGGTGGAACTAATTACAGTCTCCAATTGTCTTTCCTATGGGGGGAGGGTTGGGGGAGGGTCAGACCAGTATCCTTCAAAGCTGGACTTGGCAAAATGACCTCCATTGTCCTTTCAGGGCCATCTGTCCCTTCCCTGAAGATGCTCACTGCCCTTGATCCTGCTGACTGAAAGCTCCAGTAAGAAGCGCTATCTCTGCTCTTCCCACTAACCAGCTCTCCTCAGAGTACGGGCTCCTGGGCCATAGGCCTTGCTGGGGTCTGAGAGTGGGGGGGTAACTATGTCCGTCTTCTTAGAATGATTATTTATCAAGAGCCTTGAGGACCCCTCAGTGAGGAAGGGCCGGAACTAGGAGCCGTCCAGTGTCCAAATAGAAGAGGTTTGGATTTCGCAGGGCCTTCCCTCTGGGGCCACCTCTTCTCAGGCCCCACCTGTGCCCACTGAAGCTACACTATCTCCAGGAAGGTAGGACAGAGATGGAGACCCCAGGCTTCCTTTGTTTCTGCTGCCATTAACAGCATTAGGGAGGGCAAACTGGATTGAGAGCTGCCCCCAGAGTGAGGACAGGGCCACTCAGCTTCCAGGCTTTGCTCCTGCTACCCACAGCCACTAAGTGGCAAGCAGTATCCTAACCAAAGAAATGAGGAGAGGCCCAAACAGCCTCACGGCTCCAATGGTATTGAATAATTGTCACTTACTGCCCGAAACCAAGCATTTTGCATTTATTCTCTCAGATCATCTTCACAGTACCCCCAGCCCCAAGGTACATACCATCATCTTCCCATTTTACAGAGGAGGAACCTGTAGCTCAGTCAGGTTGAAGAAGTTGTGCAGGGAGCCCAACAAGCTTTCAGAGGCCCCTGCCCTTTGGAGGGCAATCTGACCCCCTGTAATGCGCCTTTGACACCCTTTGACCCAGCCATTCCCCTCCTTGGATTTGATCCCCAGAAAGAGTCTCACAAGTGCATGCAGATATATCAGATATATGGACAAGGATTCTCACAACAGCTTTGTCTCTGAGAGTAAGAAATTGGAAACCACACAAATGGGGAGTAAGTTAGATACATTATATTTCATTCACACAATACTGTGCATCATTAATCATGATGTTGTAGAAAAATATTTAATGATACAGGGAAGATCTTCATGGTTTTTTATTGTTTAATTAAAAATTTTAAAATTATACAAATAATGTACAAACATTCTTACTGTAAAAGAATCTGTGCTATATCATGGGGGAAAACAAATACTAAAACATTATTTATAGGGTGATTCCATTTTTATCTAAGAAAAGGCAAACATACAAAAGAATAAAGACTGGAAAGATCTGCACCAGATGGTTACCAGTGAGACAAGTAGGGTGGGGTGGAGGAGTGAGGGAGAGGTGTTCACCTTCTATATTCTTCTTTTCTTTTGTTTGAATTTCAAAAGTATCTATTATTTTTATGTCTATTTAAAAAAGAACAACATTTTAACTTTTGAAAAAAATAAAAACCCAAACCTCTGGCCTCCAACTTGAGGCTGTAGCCAAGTCATTATCCTGCTGTCTTTTGGCACAGGCTTCTGGAAAGGTGGGGAGAGGGGGATGAATAATGCCCATAGTACTTAAAACCCACACACAGCAAGGGGACCTCATCAGAGGAGATTCCTAACCCATTCAAAATCCCTGGGTAATATCTATCTATTAGGTCTAAGCTGAGAAAAGGGAAATATCAGAAAAAGCAAAATCAGACTGAGAAAGTGATTTGAACTCCCACCCACCCATCCTAGGGAAGAGAGTGGGAAGTGTCTCAGGGCTATTGGCCCCATTTGGGTTTATAGGCTGGATATAGGCTGGAAGTAGGTAGTCGTGCAAAGACTCCAATGACCACAGGACTTTAGGAGGGGCAGGTGAGGAGAGGCAACAAGGAAATATACTCTATAGGCCAGGGTCTGAGGGATGAGAAGTGTAGTGTCAGGTAGGGCTTTAGCCCATGGCCTGAAGCTCCTCCTCCAGGCAGGGCTGCTGGAACCTCTTCTCCAGCCCATAGACATCTAGAAGATGCCAATAGGGACCTCATCGTATTATCCATTAGGCCCCACAAATCGAGGGCTGCAGTTCAAGAGGCTGAGTCTTCCCAGCTGGAGACCCTCTATCCCCACTCCTAGTCTATGTCAGAGGCCCAGGTAGCTATGGCCTCTAGCTCCCCTTGGAAGGGTGGAAGTGGGCTAGTCCAAGAGGGCAATGGGGCTCTTCCTCTGACCTTAGGCCCCTCTAGGGCCTGGGGACAGCAAGTGGACAGGCAAAGCCTAGCAGTTAAGAGTCAGGGCTAACCCGAGTTCAAGTCCTGGCTTTGTCCCTTAGCTGAGTCACCCTGGACAAGTCACTTAACCTCTTCGATCCTCACTTTCCGAATCAATAAGGTGGAGACAGTAGTACTAGCCCCATGCTGTTGTTACAAAGATTGAATGAACTAGTGTACGTAAAATGCTTAGCAGAGTGTCCAGCACAAAATCAATGCTTAATGAATGATAACATGTCAGAACCCCTAAATCCACAACACCTTCCTCCCTCTGTTTCATTCCCTTCAAGGCCCATCTCACCTTGAATCCCTACTTTGTGTAGTGACCAAGGGCAAAGGCTTTGGAGTTAAACTAAAATGTCTTCAAATCCTGGCTCCTCCACTTAGTAATTACATGACTTCAGGTAATTACATATATACACATTTCTTTTCTGTAAAATAAAAATATTCAATATCGCAATATATAAATGTATCAAGCCAACACACTGCACATCCTAAATGTACACTATGTTATATGTTAATAATATCTCAATAAAAAGTGATTTTTAAAAATTAAATTTAAAAAAAGAATAATGGCCTAATAATACCTACCTCTTTGGGTCGTTAAACAAATGAGATCATGCATATAAATTCCTGGCCCATAGTAACAATAAATGGTGGCTCTCTGACTCTTTTGCAATCTCGAGGGTACTGAGTTTAAGAATGAGCATGAAGACCATTTCAGAACATGCTTGTTTACAGACTAATTGCTAGACCCTAGAGACAAACTGATATCCAAGCTCCTTGGATATTGGGATCTAGGCTAGAGGGGGCCAGCTCTGGTACCCAGACAGGCTGATGATGGAGAGTAAGCCCACCTGAGGAGTCGGGGGGGTGGGGAAGCCCTGGATCTGCCCAGTTCGCAATAGTATGATCAGCCCTGAACACCAGAGTTATTTTAGGCAACTCCCTTGGACATCCATGGGCCGCTAGAAGGAAGAGGATACAGGCCAGATTCAAGAAGGAAAAATTAAGAGTCCAGCAAGCTCCTCCCCAATTCAAGGTTAGGAGCAACTTCCTTCTCCCTGGCCCAGCAGGGAAGAAGCTGGGGGAATCAGCACATCCCACCTGAATGAACTCACTGTCCCTATTTCTCAGAAACTTACCTTAGACTTCCCCAGGTCAGCTTCCCTACAACCTCATAATGAAGGCTGTCAACTCCACAAATTCCCTCTCTTACCAGCCAAACCCTATAGCAGTGTGGTCTGTCACTAGCCCCAGCCATGGCTTCCAACTCTTACTCATAAAGGTCTCCCCACCCAGGTCTTTGGCATAAGTGGAAGCTGTGATGGGGCCATTAGAGACCAAGGGCATTAAAAACAAAAGCTAAAGCAGGGTTTTAAAAGGAAAAAAGGGAGGGCAGCCCTGGAGGCTCAGTGGTTTAGCGCCACTTTCAGCCTAGGGTGTGATCCTGGAGACCTGGGATCGAGTCCCACATGGGGCTCCCTGCATGGAGCCTGCTTCTCCCTCTGCCTGTGTCTCTGCCTCTCTCTCTCTTTCTCTCTCTGTGTGTCTCTCATGAATAAATAAATAAAATATTTTTTAAAAAAAGGAAAAAAGGGCACTGATCACTGTAGTCTCAGTGAGTTCCAACACCTTCCCCCCCTTTCAAGTCAGGAAATTCAGGATGAGGTATGAGGTTTCCCAGCTGGGGAAAAGAAGTGGCTCTCCCACCTCTCCTTCACAATAGAGGCTACCTTAGCTTTTCACACAATGTCGGCCACATTCTATAATATTCAGCGGACAACACAATCAAGTGGGAAGGAACTGCCTCCCTTCTAGACTTAGCCAAGACTCCTCCTCCAGGAAGGCCCTAAATAAATGGAATTCTATAGCACTTGATATGTAGGCTTCACCTTTTCCTATAACTTCACAGTTACCAATATAGCATTTGTATACCATTGCCTCTGGGACCTGCCAGGGATCGTGTCAGAAGGAGCCCAAGGCAATGACCCTCACAAAGGGACAGCCAACTTGACTGTGGGAACCAGACTAGGCAACTTCCTGACTCTGTGCTAAAGAAACCCCATCATCAGTTCAACCTAAGTGCAGGGATCTGGAGAAATATTTAAGAGATTTAAGTTTAAAAAAAAAAAAACTCTGGCAACCACCCCCATATCAGCCTGACTATATATAGTCAGCTCCCTGTATGCTTAAAATGGAGAGATCATTGGTAAAACTAATCCAAAATGATTAAAAAAATCTTAAAATCATTGCTAGTTCTTAACTCACAAGAGAATGGGGTCAGCAATGCAATTTCTCCTAAAGGTAACCCCAGCACATAGTTTTCAACAAGTAGTTATTGAATGTCCAATAAATGAAAGGCTCTCAAGTAGACACTTGGAGATATTCAAACCTCTCTATCTGTCTGCACCTAGGTTATGCCAGAAAGCTCTCTGGACTGGGAGTCAGGACATCTGGGATTTGGTCTCAGCTCTACCAGTAACTGTCTATGTGACCTTAGGTAAGTCACAATATTTAATTTGGTGAGAGAACAAGAGCAAATGCAAGCATGTTCCCTTCAGCAACGTCATTTAACAGAGCCCCAGTTTTATGACAATCATCCTATCTCTAATTTGGCACAAAACTACAACCCTTTAGCCACATGGTAACAACCAGATAGCTGAAGATGGGCAGTGGCTGACAGAAAAGGTAACAAGAGGGGGGCTTGAAGAAGGTGCAGGAGTATGGAATGTCAGGGAGGTCATCTACACCATGTTTCAGAGTTGTAAAACCACTTTTAAATCAAGGCCCCCCTCATTTCCTGGCCTGTGGTGGTATGTGAGCTCCAAGTTCTCATTTACTAATTGAGTAGAAAACCTCCCAATACCGGAAGAAAAAGAAATGGCTTGGACAGCCAATTAACAGAATACAAATGACAAGAAATATAAGGCAGAGGGGAGGTGTGAAAAATGACCTCATTATTAACAGAAGAGATAGAAATGAAGTGACACCGAGATTTTTTACAAGTATCAAATTGCCAAATGTTTAAATGAGATGTGTTGAAGCAGGCTCTCTGATACACTGCTGGCAGGAGTAACAGTGACAGGCTTTCTGTAAAGCAATTTGGCCATATTTATTGAGAGCCTTTAAAGGAGCACTCCATTTGACTCTAGTGATTCCACTTCTAGGAATCTATCCTAAGGAAATTATCACAGATATACCTATATAGAAAGAAGTTCATCACAACATTATTTATAATAATGTAAAATGAAACTCCTACATGGCTGACAATAGGGGGTTATATATATGTTATAGAATCATTAAGTATTTTCAAATGATTTCTAATGATATGGAAAATGCTAAGAAAAAAAGCAGGATCACAAACTCTATTTATAGTTGAATTCCAGTTACGTCTAAAAATATACATGCACACTGGGGCACCTGGCTTGCTCAGTTGATAGAGCATGTGACTCGATCTCAGGGTTGTGAGTTCAAGCCCCATGCTGGGGGTAGAGTTCACTTAAGATATATATGTAAATACATACATATATATGGATGGATGGATATATATTTATACACACACACACACACACACACACACACATGCATGCACAGAAAAAAAGTTAGAAAGAAATACACCAAAACATTAACAGTGATTATTATATCTTGGTGATGAGTTTATGGGTAATTTAAAAAATCATCTTACTTTCCTATACTTTCCCAGTGTTCAACAATGATCATGTATTGCTTTTAAAATTAAAAAGCACATTAAGGATGTGAGGGAAGAGGGATGTTTGTTTATTTTCTGAGTTTTCCAAATATTTAGAGGTAGAAAAGGACCTTTGATATAATACAATAGGTTGTCAACCCTATCAGCCCCAATCTTCCCTTGGTAGATACAATATGATATGCCCTTTGCCACCCTGAAATGACTTTCATAGGTAACATAACCTGCTTATATACATCATTTCCAGAATAGTAATATAATACACTAATTACAATATAAAGGAGAAAAAAAGGAAGTTTGTTTATGAGATAATATATATTTCAATATGCAAATGCCTGAACAAGACTATACTAAAAGATATAATAGAGACTTCCACTTATATATGTAGAACCACTGTGAATGCAATTACTACAAAGAAAGACAAATACAGGTACACTGCACTGGCACCTTAAAAACCCATGAATGGCATTGCTGTTGGTGACATGATTTTCAAGTCACAATTCTTGATAAAGTTCTGAACCAAATAAAATGCCATCTTCCCTTAATTTGCATAATTGTTGCATTCCTGGAAATTCAGTGTATATATTAAAATTGTAAAAAGAGGGGCAGCTGGGTGGCTCAGTCAGTTAGGCATCCAACTCTTGATTTCAGGTCAGGTCGTGATCTCAGGGTCGTGAGATCAAGCCCTGCATTGGACTCCTTGTTCATAGGGGAGTCTGCTTGAGATTCGCTCTCTCCCCCTCCTTCTGTCCCTCCCCCTGTTTACACTCTCTAAGTGAATGAATAAATGTTTAAAAATAAATAAAATTGTAAAAACATACTTTGTGTTGATTTGTAAAATAATCAGACCAAGCTAATTACACTAGGTGATCCCACTTACATTAACATCCTATAGAACATTCAAAAATGTACAGATGCAGATTTTTAGCTCCCATTCCCACTTCATATTTAGCCAAAACATGAAATTCACAATGACTCTCTTTTTGTGAGTTGGGCTTGCATCCTTTAAAACTAATGATATGCACAGTTTTAGCCTTTGATACTATTTCTAAAATCTATTGCCTAAGAATAGCAAGTGATTCCTAGAATATATATATTTTTTAAGATTTATTTATTTGGGAAAAAGAGAATGCACATGTGCACCTGGGCACATTCGTTCAAGCATGCACGCAAGCGGGTGAGGGGCAGAGGGAGAAAATCTCAAGCAGACCTCCTGCTGAGCACAGAGCCCAATGAGGGGATCTCAGCCTGAGATCATGACTTGAGCCAAAATCAAGAGTTGGATGTCCAACCAACTGAGCCACCCAGAATGTATTCTTAAAACTGACACAGATGCTTTTGGAATTATTGAAAGCATTCCTGTTCTTTAGTAGTACCAGGGCACAAGGGCAAATTATCAGTTCACTGTGATCCCTTGGTGATTTTCCCTAGCCTGGCCCCAGCCTCAGGAGAATCAATGAACAGAACTAGAAGAAAAGCACTAACAGGGCTAGGCCATGAGGAGAGTGAGGGGGCTCGGTTGCTAGGTTACTACTTGAGCCAATCTAAGCAGTCCCAGAGTACCAAACATAGGACAGGTCCCTCTCCCTGTCCCACTCGGCTGAGGGCTTTCTCAAAGGAAGGGAGTCAAAAGGTGGGGGAAGGGCTGGTTACTCACACTAGGCACAAGTAAAGAAATAAGGCAGAAGCACAAAAAAAAACAGACTTCCCTGTATTTCTAAAACCATTCAAGTCTCCTTCATTATTTGGCTTCACCCCAAAAAGAAAAATTTCTTTATTAAGAAATACCAAAGAGTGAAAAACCTACCACACATACACATTTGTAGGCTCACACAAAAGTGCAGAGATTTACATATTAAATTGCATTTAAGTTAGAAAATAGATTTAAAAACAAAATACTTTTTTCCCCCAACAAGGTAAAGAGATTTGGTCAGTAGGAAAAGGGTCTTTTAGGGGCAAAGGCAGGAAGGGCAGGGCATGAAGAATGGAATTTAGTTGCTATGAAATTAGAACCCATATCTGCCACTGGGAAAAAAAGCAAAGGGGGCGGATGATGCTCTCCACTAGAGCAAAGAGGGCCCCAGAGCCCAATAGACATGGAGAAGTGGTCCCAAAATAGCCAAACTCCACCATCCCTCAGCGGTTTTGGATCTGTTCCAGCCATCTTGGCCCAGGGAAGTGGGGTGCATAGGAAACTTAAGGGATGGAGAGGAAGGTGAGAGGTGGAAAGAATGTCAGCCATTGAAAAGAGTAAACAATTTAAGGCCTACTCCCCCCCCCCCCCCCCCGGGGAAGGATCAATTCTTCAATCTCCTCTCTGACCCAAACTCACACTAGGGATGGTCCCAGCTGGTGCATGGTATGAATGGGACAAATCTTCAGGCCAAGGTCTTAAATACAGAAGATTTATAAAGGAAAAGAAAGAGGGCAGGGAGTATGAAAAAGCAGAAACTTTTTAAAAACTCATTTCACACTAGAGATAAGGGATTTCCAGGTTTACCCTTCACCTCAGAATCAGCAGAACAGTGGTTGAGGTAAGGAGAGAAAGTGATTGAGCAAGGAGAGAAATCTGTCCTAACCCAAGGGAAGAGATGGGCTGAGACAGGGTAGGCTGAGAGTGGGCTAAAGGAGTTCATCTGAGTGTCAGGTTAACTGGAAAAATCTAGTAACTTCCAAATTCTTCAGGCTTGGCCTTATGTTGAACTAATGAAAATCTAGCTACAAGGATAAAAGTGAGAGATCCAGAAAAAGAATGGAAAAATAGAGGCAGATAGGAGAGGAATCTGAGTCACTCAGAACCCATCTCTCTGCTTCTCCTGATTGCTACACTCAAACTCTAATACAAAGAAAATAGGAAGACATACAGAAAAATCTAGAAGCAGCCACATTTCATTAATTTTGATTAACTGGGAAGGGTGAGATAGGCATTGGTAAGGAGTCTTGATTTTAGACTATTTAAAAAAGAAATATATGCCATCGCTTGTAAAAGATCACTAACAAAATATTTCCAAGAGGAGGCTCCAAGGAGCCTGCTTTAATAATCAAGACTCATTCGCAATTAACAGCATCCCTCTGCATAAAAACAATATCCTAATAAAGAACATGTTCTCTTAAGTAAATATACCCCCTCCAACCCTCCCAATCATGCTAAACTGTATATTGCTTTGAAAGCCCTTTCTTCATAGTCCAGAATAAGGTAAACTTCAGCTCAAAATGTGGTCTAGATCAGTGGAGAGTTTGGGAGCTATTTCTCCAACTCAAGGGTCCCCTAGAAAACGGAAGTATGTAGTAACAAGCAACCCCTTCAACCCCCACCCCCACCCCCCACACAAAGACATTCACAACCTCACGGTGGTTTTTGAAATGGAAGGGGGGAAGGAGGAGGCAGGCAGTTTGCATTAGACACAGTTTAATCACCTTCAAATAGATTAAAAGTTCTGGTTTACACTCCCCCCCCTCCCCGTAAGTCATCCAGACAGGACCCTGGCTTAGAAAGAGAAAAACACAGGTGCTTTAGGAAATATAGCCACATATAATACATAAATCTTCTTCCCTGAAATAGAGCAGATCCTGAGCAGAGCTGACTGGGGACCAAAACACACCCCCAGGGTGAAGCAGCTCTGGGACTCTGCCGGTGGAAGTGCTGGAAGAGTGGGGCTTGGAGGAAGCCCCCGTGTGGTTACCAAGCCCGAGGTGGGCCAAGGCCTTGGAGTGGGTTTACCCGGGAGGGCAGCAGTGCTGGGCTTTCCCTCCTCACTCAGCCGAGGCCTAATGGAAGTACTGGTTATTCTTTTTTTTTTTTCTTTTTTTTCTTTTTTGAGGGGACATAGGGGGAGAGGAGAGGAGAGGAGAGCCTCTCTGTGCCTTGGTTTCCCCATTTGTGCATTCAGGGCCTCTACAGGCCTCACACAGGGAGTCTGAGGGGGTAGTGTTTAAGTGAGCACTCAGGCTTCCTCTGAGGAAAAGGAACCACCAAAGTGCAGACTTTTATTACTGCTGTTCCTGCTCCTAGCAGGAGCAAGAGTCAAAAGGAAAACAAAAGGGGCTAATGAGAAAGGAGGAGAGATGAGACAAAGAGTGCGAGGGGCCATGTCATTGGCATCTCATAAATTCTTACTAAGAATAGCACAGGTATTAAAAAGTTTCCGGGTAGTCTACAAGAAATGTGGTTGTTTTTTCTACAGTAACTACTTACATATTTCTAGTTGAAAAAGAGTGGGGCTTGGGTGTTAGAGAGTGGGCAGGGGACAGAGGAGAAGCTACATGAATAAATACAAGTGGAAGTTATCTGCCCCATTCCTGAAAGGATTTGCTGGCAATGTTGGCACTTTGTAGCCAGGAGAATCCTCCAAGCCCACTCTCCATCCTCTTCAGTTCTGAAGGCCCTGGGAATCCAGTTAGGATTCCCTGGCCAGAGTTCTCTGTGACTGCCTCTGGACTCATGACATGCAGCAGCTTGGGAGGATTTGAGCCAGTCTCAAGAAACTTTAACCCCAGAATTGGGCCAATGACCCCAAGCAGGAGAGCTGGCATCTGGAGGAAAGAGAAGGGAGTCCAAGGAGACTCCATGGCTAAGGCCATTGAAAGCCAGTGTCGGGGCCCAAGGGACCCATTTGTCCAGTTACCAGAGGTGACTGACATCTTCCGTGACTGCCTCAAGTCCAGAAATTAAAAAAAGCTTGCAGCAAGAAAATGCCAGTGTGCAATTGGGTGAATAAAGACCAAAGGAAAACAATAAAAGGGACAGCTCGGTTGCTCTCTGTCTCAGGTTTATCTTCTCCCCTTAAATCTCTCTCAGCCCTAATTAAACACGAACAAAAGTCTCTTCCATAGATAGGCTACTTCTCAGCTGCAGTCACCTCCTGTGGTGGCTCTGGGGGCTCTGGGGGTGGCATCTCTTCAGGAGTGCTGGTGTCTTCCGGCATCTCATTTGGGCTCAGATGTTCTGTTGGGGCCTGAGAAGGAAAACATATCAAATTCAATACAAAGCTCTCCCTTAAGATCTAAATGGAGATAATACATAGACACTTAACTCTTCCTCTGAATCCATCAACCACACTGATGCTACAAATATACAGCCACCAACACCAAACTCAGAACCAAGACTGAACTCTAGTCTTTTCAACAGAATGTGACTGAAGTTTGAATTCTATTCTTCACTGTTGTGGATAGATGTTTTCATCATTATTTGTGATATTAATAAAAGGGACCACAAATAATTACACAGACCCCTTCCCTTCACAACAGAATGCTATAATATACTTGTCTAAGAAGGCCTGAGTGGTTCTCAGTCTTTTTTATTCCCTAACACACAGCTCACCGGAACACTGATCCTAAATCAAATAGGGTAGGGTGGCAAAATCTTCAGATGGGATATGTGGTTTGAAAATGCCCCCTTAGTGATTCTAAAATACTATCCTTCCCTACCTTCAACTTAACATCACTAACCTAGATTGTTATGATATAAGATCAGATTCATCAGGAAAATGAAATTCAAAATGATAATAATATATAAACCAGAGTTTGCTGTACTTCAAAAAAGAATTAAAAATTTAGGAAAGGTAGAGAACAATGTCACAGAATGTCCGAGCTGGCCACACTGTCAGCAATATCCATTGTAATTCTCACCAGTTAGTGGCCAAGCCTTTCAGAAAGTTAAGGGGAAGGAATGAGGGAAAGGTACATGCATGTGGCTTTTTCCAAGCCTTGTTTGGGGAAGTCGGTATCTACCCGTGATCAGTTTGGGGCCTCTAAAAGGGCCAGCTTCCCCAGGGTTCTGAAACCGACCTGAAACACTGGGCCCCTGTTTCAGGAACGGTGTGACAAGGGAAAGTGGTGTGGGGGTGAGGGGGGCTTGAGGGCCTGGGTGGTGAGGGACATGGGTAGGGTGGCCCCTCAGTGTCCCACTCGCTGTGGCTAGGAGCAGGTGGTGCTTAGACGTTCTGTGCTGTCCGTAACTGGTGGAGGGAGGGGGCTGGGCAGGTGGGATGTGCCCTTGGGTGACTCCTCATCCACTGCGGCTGAGCCTACAGGGCCCTGGCCGGCCCCTGCAGCCCTGGGCACTCCCAGAGGAGCAGGGCTGGGCTCGGCACCAGTCCACCAGGGTCTGGGCCACCGTGGGAGGCTGGGCCCATCCCTGCAGTCTCTGCTTCTACTTTACAAAAATCATCCACTTAAAAGTAGGATTCTATTTGAAAAGAAAGCTCAAATCTACTAAAAATCTATTAGAATAAACTAGTCTAGCAAGGTTTCAAGATACAAGATCAATCTAAAAAAATTAATTGAATTTCTATATACTTCCAATGTACAATCCAAAAATGTATTAGGAAAATTATTTCATTTTCAGTAACATCAAAAAGAATAAAATACTTATGAATAAATGTAACAAAAGAAGCATTAAACTTATACTCTGAGGGCGCCTGGTTGGCTCAGCTGGAGAAGCATGTGACTCTTGATCTCAGGGTCATGAGTTTGAGCCCGACGATGAGGGTAGAGATTACTTAAATAAATAAAACTTAAAAAAACACCTTATACTAGCGGTACCTGGGTGGTCCAGTCGGTTAAGCATCTGACTCTTGATTTCAGCTCAGGTCATGATCTCGGGGTCATGAGATTAAGCCCTGCATCTGGCTCTATGCTTAGCACAAAGTCGGCTTGAGATTCTCTCTCCCTCTTCCCTTGCCCTTCCCCCCACTTGCATGTGTATGCTCTCTCTAAATAAATAAATAAAATTTTTTAAAAATGTACTCTGGAAAATACAAAATGTTGAAAGAAGAATTTTTTAAAGATTTCTGTTTATTTATTCATGAGAGACACAGAGAGAGACAAAGAGAGAGGCAGAGGGAGAAGCAGGCTCCATGTAAGGAGTCCAATGTGGGACTCGATCCTGAGACCCTGGGATCACGCACTGAGCCGAAAGTAGATGCTCAACCACTGAGCCACCCAGGCATCCCCAAAATGTTGAAAGAAATTAAAGAAGACCTAAACAAATGAAGACAGCCATGTTAATGATTCGTAAGATTTAATCTTGTTAGGAAGATAATACTCCAAAAATTGATCTATAGCTTCAATGCAATCCTCATCAAAATTCCAGCTGGCTTCTTTGCAAATCCTAAGATGAATATGGAAATTCAAGGGACCCAGAACAGCCAAAATAATTGAATAAATAAAGAACAAATTTGTACGACTCACACTTCCTAATTTCAAAACTTACTACGATACTACAATAACCAAGATGGTGTGATACTGGCACAATAATAGATAAACTGATCAATGAAATCGGACTGAGAATCCAGAAACAAACTCTTGCATTTACAGTCAATTGATTTTTGACAAGGGTGCAAAGACAATTCAATGGGGGGAAAATAGTCTTTTCAACAAAGGGTGCTGAGACAACTGGATATCCACATGCAAATGAAAGAATTTGAACTCCCTACATTACACTATATATATACAAATTAGCTCAAAATGGATCAAGGTTCTAAATGTTAAGAGCTAAAACTATAAAACAATTAGAAAAAACAGAGGCATAAGTCTTCATGACCTTGGATTAGACAATGGTTTCTTACATCTGACAGCAAAAGCCCAAGAAATAGAAGAAAAAAATAGATAAATTGGACTACATCAAAATTTAAACTTTTGTGCTTTAAAGGACACTATTAAGAAAGTGAAAAGACAACCCACAGAATGGGAGAAAATATTTGCAAATCATATATCTGATAAGATAACTCTTGGTACTCAATAATAAAAAACCCAACTTGCCCAATTTAAAAATAGATAAAGGATCTAAATAGATGCTTCTCCAAAGAAGATATACAAATGGCCAATAAACTCATGGAAAGACACCCAACATCATTAAGGAAATGCAAATCATAACCACAGTGAGATACCACTTCCCACCCACTAGGATGGCTAGAACCAGAATGTCAAATAATAATGACAAGTATTGCCAAGAATGTGGAGAAACTGGCACCCTCATACACTACTGGTGAGGGATGTAATAGGGTGCAGCCACTTAGGAAAACAGTTCACAAGGTACTCAAAAGGTGAAACATAGAGCTATTATATGACCCAGTGATTTCATTCCTGGTATATAGCCAAGATAAATGAATACATACATGTCTATGAAAAAACTTGCACAGGAAAGTTCATCACTGCATTATTCATAATCAAAAGGTGCAAACAACCCAAATGGCTATCAATAGATGAATATATAAATAAGATGTGGCATTATCCATATAATGGAATATTATTCAGCTGTATAAAGGAATGAAGTACTGTTATATATGACAACATGGATGAACCTTGAAAATATTGTCAAATGAAAGAAGCCGGTCACAAGTGGCCACACACTATATGATTCCATTTACATGGAATGTACAGAAGAGGAAAATCTATAGCAAAAGAAAGTAGATTAATAGTTGCTTAGGGATTGGGCTGGGGGAGCTAGGAGGAAAAAGAGTGACTGCTGCTGGGTGCAGGCATTTGGTGAGAGATCATGAAAATATTTTAAAATTGATTGTTGTGATGATTGCACAACTCTGTGACTATACTACAAACCAGTGAGCTGTACATTTTAAATAGGATTTTATAATGTGTGAATTATAGCTCAATAAGGCTATTATAAAAAATGAAATATCATGGGATCCCTGGGTGGCGCAGCGGTTTAGCGCCTGTCTTTGGCCCAGGGCGCGATCCTGGAGACCCGGGATCGAATCCCACGTCGGGCTCCCGGTGCATGGAGCCTGCTTCTCCCTCCACCTGTGTCTCTGCCTCTCTCTCTCATTCTGTGTGACTATCATAAATAAATAAAAATTTAAAAAAAAGAAATATCAAATAGTAACTTTTTAGGAACATACTTTATAAAGTATATCCTGAGCAAGACAGCTGGGAGATTTGCTACAACCACTGCATATTCCAAGGATGAAGCCTCCTTCTACCAAGGTAACCCCTTCATTAACTCTAACCCACTGCTGCCCTAACCCCTATCTTTGCTCTGATAGCATTTTATGCCTTCCTCCTCAAGGCACTTTTCACAACATTGAGCAATGGCCTGTTTCCTTGTCTTTCAACCCCACTACACAATGAGTTCCTTGAGAGCAGTGAAATTGTTTGTCTTGTTAACTGGCATATCCTTAGCACCTAGCCCAGTGACTGGCACAGGATTTCAAAAAAATGACTAGCTCTTAATCTACCTCAAGAGCACAAAGATCTGAAGACAATGTTGGGGCAGAAGCAGAGACAGAGAAGCTGGAGCAACTGGACATGAAATTGCCTAATTATATCTCAAAGGCATAAATTTAGCCTACACTTTCTATCACTGATTCAGCCGTTATGTCAGGAATACTTACTGGGCTCTGTGGCAAAAGGCTGCTACTGGTCTCTTGAGTACTGGGAGGTCGACTTCCACTTTCCTCCAGTGGCAAAATACCCCTTCGGTCCAGCACACTGAAGGAGAGAGGACAATTAATAAAGCACTTTGTATTCATCCCTTCCCCCACCCACCCCACTGAACCTTGCTGCATGTACTAGAAAACATAAACCTACCCTTTAACAGACTAGCGTTATCCTAGCACATGCCTCCTGTCTTCCATTCATGGTTTTCTTCAACAAACCAAGGAAGAAACAAACAAATGAAATAAGAACGAAAGGTTATCCCTTCAAAACAACTAGCCTGTGGTCTGTGGTCCATGTAGCAAGGCACCAAGGGATAATCCTTGGGAAGACCTATTTGACACCAAAAAGGCCACATTCAGAAGGATGCATCAGGAGCACCTGGGGGGTTCAGGCAGTTGAGTGTCTGACTCTTGTTTGGCTCAGGTCATGATCTCAAGGTCATGAGATCGAGCCCCATGTTGGGCTCTGCACTGGGCATGGAGCCTGCTTAAAATTCTCTCTCTTTCCTCTGCCCCTTTCCACCCTACTCTTGTGCTCGTGCTTGCTCTCTCTCTCTCTCTCTAAAAAAAAAAAAATGCATCAGACCAGGTAATAGGATTAGGTTAAATTGCTTGTCCCAAGAATTCCAGGATCTTCTAGTTCTCTGAATACCTGGGGGGCAAGGGGCCACATAGCACTTCACAGCAGTTCTTCACAATGTTGCCATGGCTATAGGGATTCTGGACACGATTCTTCCCTGTCCATGAGCCTTTGATCTGCAAGACAAAAGCCAAGACTTATAGTAAAAAATATGCTGCAGAAATATCTGCAACATGGAAAGATGAAAAGCTCTGGAAATGGATGGTAGTGATGGTAGCACAACATGAGTGTACTTCATGCCAGTGAGTTCTACATTTAAACATGGCTAAGATGGTACATTTTATATTATATATATTTTACCACAACAGGAAAAAAAATACCTGCATAGCCATGGAAAAATGTTCACAATAGAGTGAAAAATCAGAAGCTGAATAATATGTATTATTTTCAACTAAAAAAACAAAATATATATTCATCTAAAACACGGAAACAAGTCTGGAAGACTACAAATCATACCATAACAATGGTGAATTTAGATAAAAACTTAAAAAAAACCCATGGCTCCAAACAAAGCAGTGTGCTTTCTCTTCCACATGTTGGATTTAACAATCTCCCTAGGGTTCTGTCTGCATTGACCTTCCAAACCCTGGAGACTCAGTTCTCCAGCAGGAAATGAGAGAATAGGCTCTGGATAGAGGAAGAATATGTGATGAGGAAAAGGGAAAGTTGACTCACGTCTTCATTGGTTGTCTGGTTGAGAGCCACGAGGAAAGTGTGAAACCCAGTCAGTCCCACGACGGACCAGAGTGTGAAGAAGCAAATGAGCACTTCTAGAACAGTGAGGTGATGTTAAGGAATGTTGAAGAAGCTACACCAGGGGGGCTCAATGCTTCAGCCCATACTCTCGGCACCAATCATACCATCCTTACCTCTCAGAAAATATATCACAAATGGCCAAGTATCTGTATATAATAAACAGGAATTCTAAACTCGCTGGATATATGAAAGGTAGAGGACTCCTGTTTAGTCATTACAAGTAGCTCTCTAACATTTCTGGTTCATTTAAATGCTTGTTTATTCATCATTAGCTCTTTGAAGAGAACATTTAGAAGAGAGCCAAAGCCATTACTGCCAATGGAAAATCCATTGAAAAATAAACCTTATAAATGAAAAATTGGTGGGAAAAACAGAACATGACTTATAGAAATCCCATCTGAGTCTCCTTTTCAGAAATACAACTGCTGTACAAAATAAGCCTTAGCTGTAACAGAAAGATAGGACTTTGGTCAAGTGACATGAGAGGTGTACTGACACTAGAGGAGGCAGGGCTGAGCCTGGGATCAGAAGGACTTCGGAGGGAGGCAGTGGAGAAAGGGGTGAGGGAAAGACCTCCCTTTAAGCCCTGGTCATCTTCCATTCTGGTTTCTACCATTAAGACTACACTTTTTTGTTTTTTTTTAATTTTAGACTTTGGCACTCTCTGACATCTGAAAAACGAGATGGTGGGAGAACTGCAGAGAGAAAGCCTACTCGAAACTAGTTTAAGAGGGCGTCACAGGAACATACTGCCAGGGGAGGATATGTTCCAGGAGTTTCTTTCAACGTCTCCAGGAAGCCAATTTTCAAGGATTCTGTTAAATTGGGAGGACAAGTAGAAAGAAAAATCAATGACTTTAGTAAAAAATGCACACTTATCCTAGTACCCACTCATTTCCTTTCCTCCCTATCCCTTGTTACAAACTGGCAAGAGATTAAGCCCTCACTCAGACAAGGGACTCTTACCTACAAGCAGGTAGTATCCTCACCAAAGAGTTTACACTTTCAATGTGGGACCTGGCACTGGACTACAGAGTCTGACAGAAGCCACGCTTCCTGTTCCTCTCCCTTTTCCTTAGCCCCCAACTATGGACATGGATGGAGAACATTCATTCATAGATGAAAGAAATCAGAACTATCCAAGAAAAATTCTCTCTCCTCACCAATCCATGTCCCTCCCCTCCCTTGTTCAAAATCCAGCTGAGAACTCATCTCTTGATCAAGAAGCCTCCTTTAACTCCACATCTCATCTGCCTTTAGGGGGATTTGGGGGGGGGTGTATGTGCGCACACATGTGAGTGTGTATTCTCTGTCTCCCAAAGTAGACCACAAGCTACTGAAAGTCATTTCTCTAGTATAACCCTTTCTACTACCTGGCACAGAGCAGATCTTACAAGGAAGAAGAAAAAAGGATGCAGAACTGAAATACATCCTCAATCTTTGGGATCACCTCAGAAATGCCCCCTACTCTGGGTACAGACCAGTAATCAGGGACTCAGTCTTCAGCAGAGGGCCAAATGAGAAGGTGAACACACTCAGTAATACTGATTGATGTGAGTTAAGTTTTGGAGCTCCAATTGAGAGCAAAAAGTAGTGTTCATTTCTAATTGGCCCTAGGGTGCCTTTGCAATGGTAAAGTCCCACCAGGAAACCCAACCACTCCCCTCAGATCTCCTTAAGTCTTCTCCCACCCCTCACCAAGAGACACTGCCCTGCATACTCACTGAGAGCCACATAGACGATGTTGAAGGCGAAGACATAGATCGTGAGGAGGGAGAGAGATAGGATAAAGAGGTAGAAGTAGCGGTAGTTCCTCTTTCCAACACAATTCCCCACCCAGGGGCAATGATGGTCGAAGCGCTCTGTGGGAAAAAGGGAGAATCCAGTGCCAAAGCCTCCAAAATGAAGCACAACACACCATCCACATAGTACCTAATTTAGAGACCCCAATGACCACTGTCAATTTCAATTATAAAAAAACACTGGTTTCTTTTTTTCACTTTTTCACAATGTTTTCATAGTCATCTCATTTCATCCCCACAGTCACCCTGGAAGTCAAGCAAAAGAAGATATTCTTTTCCTCCCATTACAGTTGAAAAAGCTAAGGCACTGAGGGGTCAAGTGAGCTGCCTCACTGCCAGTTGACAACAGAGACTTGGCTTTTCCAAAGAAAAATGTTAGGTGGACTAAGTTCAGGAATAAGAAGTGGGTGAAAACAGCCAAGGAAATTTTAAAAAACGAGTAGTGTGGTTTTTCTTAACCTCTAGTTATCTTTTAAAGTGATAAAACTACAGGGGCATCTGGGTGGCTCAGCCAGTTAAATGTCTGACTCTTGATTTCCACTCAGGTCAGGATCTCAGGATTGTGAGATCCAGTTACACATCAGGCTCCACGCTGGGCATAGAGTCTGCTTGAAATTCTCTCTCTCCCTCTCGCTCTGCCCCACCTCCTTCCTTCTCTCTAGTTCTCTAAAAAAATTTTTTTAATGTAAAAATAAAATAAAACCATCAAATAACTATAAATAATAGATGAGGGGTGCCTGGGTGGTGCAACCAGTTGAGTGGTCAACTCTTGGTTTTAGCTCAGGTCGTGATCTCAGGGTCGTGAGTTCAAGCCTCAAGTCAGGTTCCACATTCAGCACAGAGTCTGCTTGAGATTCTCTCTCCCTCTCCTTCTGCCCCTCCCACTCCTATTCTCTCTAAAGTAAATAAGTAAATAAATCTTTTTAAAAAAAGAATAGATGAACATTTATCCCCTATATAGAAAAGGATTTTCTCAGTAAGCATAAAAGTAATGGAAGAAAACACAGATAGGGGCGGCCCAGGTGGCTCAGCGGTTTAGCACCGCCTTCAGTCCAGGGCATGATTCTGGAGACCCAGGATCGAGTCCCACGTCGGGCTCCCTGCATGGAGCCTGCTTCTCCCTCTGCCTGTGCCTCTAGCTCTCTCTCTCTGTGTCTTTCATGAATAAATAAAAAATAAAAAAAAGAAAACACAGATAAAGAAAAATATATTTGACTCCATAAACCTTTTTTTTGACTCCATAAACCTTAAAAAACATTTTATACATATTAAAAATATCATAAAAGAATATTAAAGAGAAAAAAACCAGTGTAAATATATGTAATTTCTGTACCTTAGTATATGAGAAGTCCTTACAAATCAATAGCAAAATACAAATACTCCTTCAAGAAAATAAGGGTGAAAACAGTTAACAAATACCACATAAACATATAGTTAAATGTTTTCAGATTCACTAATAATTCAGTGCAATACTAGTACAAAATAAGACAATTTTTGCCTATCAAAATAAGAATATAAAAAATAATATCAATTGCTGGTGAGAATAGCATAAAATGGATACCACTACACTCTGTGGGAGTATAAATTGAGATAACCTTTCAGAAAACCAATCTGGCAGTGTGTATCAACAGTCTTAATAAGGCTCACGCCCCTTTGGCAAAATAAATTCATTTTCAGTAATTTCTCATAAGGAAATAGAAATGTGCACAGAAATTTAAGTTCAGTAATTTTTTATTAGATTTTGTATTGTGGAAAAATATATAACATGCAATTTGCCAATTTATTCATTTTAAGTGTATAACTTAGTGGCATTTTTTAAATTCACAATGTTGTACAACCATCATCATTACCCATTTCCAAAATTTTTCACCACCCCCAAAGAGAAGCTCTGTACCCATTAAAAAATAACTCTCCACTTTCTCTTTCCCCCAGCCCCAGTAACCTCTAATCTTTCTCTGTCTCTATGCCTAGTCTAGATATTTCATATAACTGGAATCATCTTGACTTTTTCTGTCTGGCCTCTGTCATTTAGCATGATGTTTTCAAGATTCATCCACAATGTAGCATATATCATCACTTCATTCCTCTTCATGGCTGAATAATATTCCACTGTATGGATATAACACATTTTGTTTATCCATCCATTGGTTGATGAACACCTGGGTTGTTTCCACCTTTTGGCTACCGTAAACAATACTGCTATGCACACTGATGTACTAAAATGTTTATCTATTTTCAAATATTTTTGGTATTGTTATGGACAGAATTGTGTCCCCCTCAAAATTCATATGTTAAAGCCTTAACCCCTAATGTGATTGTATTTGGGGACAAGGCTTCTAAGGAGGTAAATGTCTTAAGGGTTGGGCCCTAATCATGTCAGATTGGTATTATTATAGGAACAAGATGAGACATCAGGAGTGCATGAGCACAGAAAAGAGGCCATATGAACACAGCAAGAAGGTGGCCATCTGCAAGCCAGAGACAGAGACCTCACCAGAAATCAATCCTGCCAGTAACCTGATGTTGGACTTCTAACCTCCAGAACTGTTAAAAAATAAATTTCTGTTGTTTAAGCTACCCAGTCTATGATATTTTGTTATGGTATCCTAAGCAAGCTAATTTAGGTATACACACACACACACACAAACGCACACACACACACATACATACACACTCAGGAGTGAAATTGCTGGGTAAATGATAATTCCATGTTTAACTTTTTGAGGAATGGCCAAACTGTTTTCCACAGTGGTTATCCCATTTTTTATTCCCACCAGCAGTATATGAAGGTTCCAATTTCTCTACATCCTTAAATTTAATCATTTTTATTGCAGTGTAATGATAATGAATAAAATGGAATAGCAAATAATATGTAATTAAATAAACTAGAAAATAATACATTCAAAACATATTTAAGATGTAGAAAAATGCTCAGGATATAATGTTAAGTGACAAAGGCAGGATGAAAAACTCTATCATGTGTGATCTAACTTCACAAACAAGTGACACTGGAAGGAGATACAGCAAAATGGAGAGGAAATTTGGGATTAAGTTTTATTTATACTTTCTGTACCTCCCATATTTTCTACAATGAACATGTATTATTTTAATGAATAAAAAAAGCTACATACTAGTCAAAATTAATAAGACTGTAAGAATGGTACATCTCTTGGCTAAAGGGCTACAATATATCTTTTCAGCAAAGGAAAAGAAGATGTAGAGAAAACCTGCTCAAGTGATTAAGGTAATACCTGGATCAAGAATTACAGATATGGCCTCACTTTAAGCAAACCTGCCATAGAAAAACACTGGAACCTATAGATTTATACAGATATATTTTTACCATTTTTATTTTATTAAGATTTTATTTATTTATTTGAGTGAGAGAGAAAGCATGAGTGGGAGGAGGGGCCGAGGGAGAGGGAGAGAGAGAATCTCCAGTAGACTCGATGCTCCATCTCATGAGCCTGAGATCATGACCTGAGCCAAAATCAAGAGTCAGATGCTCAACTGACTGAGCCACCCAGGCACCCCTAATATATTTTAAATCATACTTTTTCTGATAATACAATTAATAAATGCTCATCATAGAAAACTTGAAAAAAAAACAAAGAACAAGACAAAAATGAAGGAAACAAAATCATTTGTAATTCTACAACCCATAGATAATAAGCTACTGGTATATTTTCTGGCATATTTTCCTGCATATATCTTTGCATATACTTATTTTTTTTTCAAATGTGTAACTGAGATCACATTATAAATGTAGACTATCTCCTATTTTATTTCATTTAGCTTTCTAATATGAGCTTTTCCCATAAATCTATTGCATGAATGTCCCACAATTTATTTGACCACTTATCTATGGATGGACAATTAGGTTTATCCAATTTTTCCACATTATAACAATCCTGAAGTAAATATTTCCATACCTAAATCTTTTACAGGATCCCTGATTATTAGCACAGATCCCTAGAAAGGGGATCACTTGCATCCAAGGGTATACATGTTTTAAAGCTTTTAAGAGGGGCTCCTGGGTGGCTCAGTGCTTGGGCATCTGCCTTTGGCTCAGGTCGTGATCTCCTGGGATCAAGTCCCGCATCAGGCTCCCCACAGGGAGTCTGCTTCTCCTCTGCCTATGTCTCTGCCTCTCTGTATCTCTCATGAATAAATAAATAAAATTTTTTTAAAAAATAAAGCTTTTATGAATCTACTAGGTTGTCTTCCGAAAAGTTTGTTCAATTTACACTCCTGTCAGGGAGTGTAAGCATGATCAGGTTTTATTTGCTAATGTTCTGGATTTTAAAAGATCTTGTTTTAATTTTTATTTCTCTGATTTATAGTAAGGATGAACCTTTTTCATGTTAATTAGTTAATAACATATCCTATTAACGAACTGTCCATATTTCTCCTGGAATGTTAGTGTTTCTTTTTTTTAAGATTTTATTTATTTATTCATGATAGGCAGAAAGAGAGAGGCGCAGAGACACAGGCAGAGGGAGAAGCAGGCTCCACACAGGGAGCCTGACGCAGGACTTGATTCCGGGTTCCCAGGATCACACCCTGGGCCGAAGGCAGTACCAAACCGCTGAGCCACCCGGGCTGCCCAGTGTTTCTTTTTAAAAATCAATTTGAATGAGTTCTTTATATTTAAGAATATTAATAAGGAGAGGGAATTCTTTATGAAAAACTTCACATCAGACCTTTTTGAAATATCGAGTTTCCCAGCTAATTTAAAATGAGTTTTAATTTATAAAAATCCTATCTATATACAGATTTTTACCATATAAAGTAAGTTTTATCTTCCTGACCTTTGCCTAAAGAATTGGCTAATAAGAAGTGAGCAATGTTCTCAGTCAGGCATGTTCCATGGTATATACAAAGAATGCTAAAAGTTTGCTTGGGGTGCCTGGGTGACTCTGTCAGTTAAGTGTTTGACTCGGGGTCCTGGGATCGAGGCCCACCTCAGGCTCCACGCTCAGTGCAGAATCTGTTTGTCCCTCTCCTTCCCCCTCTTTCCTCCCCTCCCCTGCCCCCGGCACGCATGTGTGCTCATGCTCTCTCTCTCTCTTTCAAATAAAAAGATAAAATCCTTTTAAAAAGAAGTATGTTTACTGGTAATATAAGGAGTTTCACATATATGCCTATCCATAGACATATTTCCTGCCTATTTCTGATCTTTCTCAGGGCTCAGCACACACTAGGCAGTGATTACAACCAAGCCACATATATGGAGATAGAACCATAGGCCCATGTATTATGCACACCAGCCACCCTTGCAGCATCAGCAGAGAAAGATGAAAGGACAGTGTTGGAACCAGACCTGCTCTAGTTTCATCTCATATTAGTTACATGAACCTGCACAAAGGTTCTTCACTTATTTCCTCACCTGTAAAAAGAGGATAATACCTACCTCATGGGGTTCTTATGAGTCTTAAATGAAAGAAAGGGAAAGCACTTAGCACAGTGCCTGGTATATAGCAGGAACTCAGTAAATGCTAGCAACTTTCTTCTTGGAAACACTACTTCTTACATATCCCTTCCTTCCCCGCTGCTGCCCTCCAGTGGACTAGGGTTCTCTTCCCCCTACCTAATAAGGTGGGCTCCACTTGAAACAAATCCAGATTTGAAAAACAGGTAAAGTCTACTCACCCATTTCCAAAAAGGTTTTTTAATATAAATTTTAGACTAGAGGATATTTAAATTATGATTCGATCTCCAGAAGTACAGTTGATCTACAGTTGTTCAGAAGCATGTTTCCTATCTAAAGTTTCCTATCTAATTCTAGCTTATTTCCTATAAGTCTATCTTCCCACTCCTACTGCTTTTTCCCTGGAATAATAACCCTAACCCTCTCCTCCTTCAACTCAGCCTTCCCCCCAGACAAAGCCACTTTGGCTTTACTCACCCACACAGTTGTCACAGATGCTGCAATGGGAGGCCCGGGGAGGCCGGAAGATCTTGCATGTATAACAGTATTTCAGCTTCACAATCTGGTTGTTGATCTGGAAATTCTTGATACGAGGAGGTGGTCGCTGGCCCTGGGGCACTGCACCATTGGTAGCTTCTGTAGATCAGTAAAAACAGTTAATTTCACTGCCAGCCATTATTTGAGCCCTAAAGTCTTACCACTTCTCTAAAACTAGTGGGAGTAATCACCAGTTCCGTAGGCACACTGTCTTCTCCAGACTAACACTATCTAAGGACACTCTCAACATCAGAGAGTTGATACATCAGTAAAAAATGAAATTCCAAAAAAAATGAAATTCCACTAAATGCTATATAATTCTTTTATGCACATGTGAAAAGGGGTTTCTTCATGTTTTTTGGCAGATTACAAAGAAAAACATTCATAAGAGAAACTGAAATGGCTAAAAAAATATATGAAATGAAAACATTTTTTTTAAATGAAAACATTTAAATTCACTAACAATCAGGGGTGCCTGAGTGGCTCAGTCAGTTAAGCATCTGCTTTCAGCTGGGGTCATGATTCTGGGGTCCTAGGATTGAGCCCTATGTTAGGTTCCCTGCTCAGTGGGGAGTCTGCATCTCCCCCTCTCTCTGCCTCCTACCTGGCTCCTGCTCACTCTCGCTCTCAAATAAATAAACAAAACCTTTATAAATAAATAAGTTAATAAATCCATTAACAAAGACATAAAAATCAACACAAAGACACTGTTACCTCCTACTATATTAACAAATATTAAAAAGAGTAAAAGTACCCAGTGTTGGCAAGGATGGGGAGAAGGTATTTTTATACACTATCAGTAAGCAATAAAAGCAGTGGCTTCCAAAAGTTTAAAGGCATATATTTTTTAACCCAACAATTCTATTTCTAAGAATTTAACAAAATTACAATGCGATATACAAAAGATGTTGATGCAAGGCCATTTGCCACAGAGTCTCTTTTAATAGTGAAAACTTGAAAATAACCTCAGTGTCACAGTAGAAGGTTGGTTAAATAAATTATGATACTTGCATAGGATGGAATATTATGCAACCATTTAAAATGATATAGACAAGTGAATGAAGATACAGGACAATATCCACAATACGTTGCAAAATGAAAATATGCATTAGAAAGCAACATGCATAAAAGGATATTATCTTGCAAAAATAAAAAATATGCATGAAAAAAGACTGATAATACTTAGAATCAGAAAAACAATTATTTAAAAATAAGATTAATGCATGCTTATTGTAACAAGCTTGGAAAAAATAGAAAATACATATAAGAAAAAATAAAAATCATTGACAGTCTCTCAACTCAGGGATACCCATGCATTTTGGTGTATTTCCTTAACAAATAAATAAACATTCACAACTTTTAAAAATTAGAGATCACATTATAAGTATAATTTTGTATTCTGTATTTTTCACTTATCATTATATGGTGAACTTTTCCAGGGTTGTTAATTTCTCTTCTAAAAACATTAATATCGGCAATATAATATTCTATCATATGCATATACTGTAATTTATTTAACCATTCTATATTGTAGGACATTTAAGTGGCCTCTGGGTTTTTACATTTAAATGATGTTGCATGAAAAAACTTAAAATATTACAGGTAAAGTTTAAATCCCCTTTGATCACCACTCCAATCACAATTCCCACCTCCCCTCCTCAAGAATGTATACATGTATTGGGGCACCTGGGTGGCTCAGTCAGTTGAGCAACTAACTCTTAGTCTCAGCCCAGGTAGTGATCTCAGGGTGGTGAGATTGAGACCTGAGTCCAGCTATGGACTCACCACAGAGTCTGCTTGAGATTCTCTCCCTCTCCCTCGGCCCCTCCCCGCACTCACTCACTCTCTCTCTAATAAATAAAATCTTTAAAAAAGAATATATACATGCATTAAAATTAATTTCTAAAACATAAAGGAAAAAAAGGAAAGCATGTTGAAGTCTGAGCAGTAATATATGAAGTTGCCAGCATAAAAATAGCTAGGCCCATATTAAAAAAGAAAAAAATGATGTACTGAAAATCCTTCTACAGTAATTTGTATAACTGATTATTTCCCTTAAATAAACTCTAAGTGAAGTGGAATTACTGGGTCAAAGGGTATGAATCCTTAAAGCCCATATTGCTTATTGCCAAAATGCTTCCCAGACAGTATCAATTTGCACGCCCATCCATCTGCAGCATATGAGAATGCCTGTCTCGTTGCACCCTAGATATGCAGGATAATTCTAAAAACAGAATAATTTTTCAATTCACTTTGATTTTAAAAATATCTGCCATATGGAACTTTTTTCCTTTTTTTGCAGAGTGGGGTGGATGCTGTGAAATCAAACAATAACAGTGCGTCACCAAGTTTTAAAAGAATGGGGATAGCTATTCATTAGAGAATGATATAAGTACCATCATGCCACCTTAATATTCCTTTGCATGTGCTTTACATGAAGACACCTGTGAGACAGGGTTCATGGTTCATCCTCCCCATGAAGCGCTATGATTCAAGGGAATCACAATGTCATCTTCTGCCCCTCAGCCCCCAGGCACAGAGCATACCCAGAACTGGGATGAACTTAAGTTGAAAACAACTCACTAACATAAACATATGAATGAATGCAAAAATGCATTCGTCTATGGAGAGAAACATACTAAAATGAGAGGTCACAACAATGTGACAGCTCAAGCCTGGGCTCCAGGCCCAGTGATCCGGCAAAACAGAATTGACCTTGCTAACACCTGCTATGAGATGCAAGAGACCAGTTTCTCTATATGTGAATGGAAAGAGGATGATAAAAGAATCATCCAGATGGAAAAAAGATGGCACACACAACTCTCCCTCCTATCTTGCTCCTAACTACTCCAGCTTTACCAAGTCTCTCCTGAACTCCAGCTGCACCAAGACACCCAGCCTCTGCCTTCTCCCCACTATTTCCACTTTCACCCCATCCCTAAGCTCAGATGTGCACAAACCTATGTCCGCTTAGCTCAACTAAAACAGTCTGGAATTCTTCAAAAACAAATTCACTAAGAAGCTAGAGGGAGGGACACCTGGGTGGCTCAGCGGTTGAGCATCTGCCTTTGGCTCAGAGCGTGGAGTCCCGAGATCAAGTCCCACATCGGGCTTCCTGCATGGAGCCTGTTTCTTCCTCTGCCTGTGTCTCTGCCTCTCTCTCTCTCTCTCTGTCTCTCATGAATAAATAAATAAAATCTTAAAAAAAAGAAGCTAGAAGGAAATGCAGCTAAAATAAACAAAAGAAATACAAAAGATTGGAAGCTTTCAAACCCCTCTAAAAGAGTACCAAATCAACACTGTAAACTTACACAATGTTGTGTCAATTATATCTTGATAAAACTGGAGGAAAAAACATCAAATGGAAATAGGAGAAAATATTTCATTGATGATAGCATGCATATAAACATTAGGAATACACTCAGGGGCAGCCTGGGTAGCTCAGCGGTTTAGCACCGCCTTCAGCCCAGGGCATGATCCTGGAGACCCAGGATCGAGTCCCATGTCAGGCTCCCTGCATGGAGCCTGTTTCTCCCTCTGTTTGTGTCTCTACCTCTCTGTCTCTCTGTTTCTCATGAATAAATAAGTAATAATAAAATCTTAAAAAAAAAAGGAATAAACTCGGGCAGCCTGGGTGGCTCAGCGGTTTAGCACTGTCTTCAGCCCAGGGCTGATCCTGGAGACCCGGGATCAAGTCCCACGTTGGGCTCCCTGCATAGAGCCTGCTTCTCCCTCTGCCTGTGCCTCTGCCTCTCTCTGTCTCTCTCATGAATAAATAATAAAATCTTTTAAAAAAAGGAATACGCTCAATATGAGAAATACAGAAACTAGATTTTAAAACTATAAAAATGTTATTCAAGGGCATAAAATTCAACCAGAAAATAAAGACATAGTATTTTCTTAGCCAGATAATATTATACACATGTAAATTCTCTCAAAAATATAAATGTAATGTAATATCTATTATAACTCTAATATGTTTGTGTGTTTCTAGTTAAATAAAATAATATTAAAATAAAAAATCAAGCAAACACCTTAACAATCTAAAGGCTAACCATAGATTGGTGGTCCATGGGCATACCTTCTAGTCTTGCAAGTTCTGGGTCCCATTCTTCTACTCTATCTGGATTCGATGCTGATTCAAGCTACTTGGGTACTGGACTTGCAAACAATTTAGGCAGGCACTGCTGTTGGTCTGGGGAGCTCCTAGTTCCTCCTAGTACTAGTATCATGGCCTTTTTTTTCCAGTGCGAGCTCCTAGGATATTCCCTCCTCGGATATTAGCCTCTAGCCCTTGGGATCTTCTGCTTCAATTTGTGGAGCCATCCTGGCTTCTGGCTAGTGTAGCACTTCATCTCTATCCCAAAGAGACCTACCCTGAGCTGAAAACTGCACTGAAATGAGCCTGTAACTGCTTCCTTTACCTTCTTTTACCTTCCTAGAATTCCCAGTGGTTCCTGGCACCACGGCTGTCTCCTCTTACCTTGTGTATTGCCTTAAATCAGGAATTCTTGGTGGGGCCTATGAATGTGCTTCAAAAGATCTATGAATCCCTGAAATCACCAAAACTATATGTATATGCAAATATGTAAGAATATTTTTATGAAAAGAAGGCTTAAAGCTTTCATTTAAAAAATCGAATGAGTTCATGACCCCCCAAAAGTAAAAAAGCCCATCCTCTTGGGAACAGTACAGCAGGACTTTAGTAACAAACCCCTCCTGAAACACAACCCAACACAAGGAAGAATGAAGCATATAGCTTTCAAGTCTTGCTAAATCTGCCTTACGAAAATCATAGGGTGGTCATGATCTCAGATTCAGGATCTTGCAGGAAAAAAACTAAAAATGATTCTTAATCTGCAATTACCATTGATTCCATTCCCTTAGTGATTAAAGTCACTCACTGCACAGCATCTCACCAGCTGGTTAGAAAACTCACCTATCTCCATTTCTATGAAAGCCGCTTCATCTGGGAGGGCCCGAGGGATCACTCCTGGGTCACTGAAGCTGGTCCTCAATAGTGTAGCCATGGAGAAAAGGAAAAGCATGGCAGCAAACACAGGGATGGCAGGAGACAGCTGGACAGCCAGGTATCGACATCTGAAGAAAGCAGGCAATTGAACATTTAGCTATACCTACCTACATTAGCTATACCTCAAACTGTTACCAGCATGTCGATCTTGTCTTCACAATAAAATCAGCATGACCTTGAGGGAAGGGCCTATGTTTTTTTCTTCTCTTGAATTACCCATAACTCCTAATATATGGCTCTGCACGTAGTAGGAGCTCAACACTTACTTGATCAATGCCACCTATAACCTAGAGAAGACAGTCTCAAGGGACTTCCCCTTATCAGCAAGTCTCAGCCTGCTGAGAACCACATTTCCTCTGTGCCTTGGGAAAGGCTCACACTTACTAAGGTCAGGGAAGCAACTGGGCCTGGACTGGTAAGTACCACAGGTTGCTCTCACTCTGAGAATGTCTAGAGCTTTTCATGACCTCTCATCAGGCATTAGGCCTGAGCTCAAGGAGGAGGAAGAAAAATGAGTACGATCCATGAAGCGGGGTCCCAGCATCAGGCAGAGGGTACATCTGGCATGCTTCAAGGCCAGTGAAAGCTTCAGGGCTGCTGACTGTCTTTGCAACATCCACTTTCTTCTCTCCTTGATCAGCTCTGCTAGTAGGTGCTTAGTGACCTTAGGCAAGAGAATAAGAAAATTGTATCTCCTTGGCACCCCTTTCCAACATGTTTGCTCCCCCTCTTTCCTCATAATTCACCTGGAAGGCCACTCCCGTTCCTCTCTGGATATCCCAGCTCTACTCATCTTTCAGGTCCCAGAGACATCAACACCATCACTGTCAACATCACAACTTACTGAGCACTTGGCATATGCCAGGCACTGCACTAAGCCTTTTATATGCATTATCTCATTCAATTCTCACACTAACTCTATGAGGTAGAGTCTATTAGACCCATTTGATAGATGAAGAATCTGGGATTTAGAGAAACCTTGCCTCCTCTGATAGGCCTTTCCTAAGGTGCACTAATCTCTCCCTTCTCTAGCGTCGTCCTCACTGCCAGAGCCTCGCATTGTTTCCTAGCTGTTTTTCACTATGTTGACCTCATCTCCCCAGCTGGACTTCATGAGAGCAAGACCTTGTCTTTTTGGAGTGGGGATGTTTGGGATTGAATTCTGGCTCCACCAGTTCCTAGTTGGGTGACTTAATTAACTTCAGTCTCCTTAGCTGTGAAATGAGGATAATAATAGTACTACATAGGGTCATTGTGTAGATCAAATGCATGAATATAAATGAAATGCTTAGAACTGCACCTGACACATAGTAAACGTTAAGTAAATGTCAGCTATTAATATCACCATCATGGTTCTCTATCTCCCAGAGCTTAATACAAGTATGGGGACAAAGATGCTATCAACAAATACTTGTTGCATTAAACTGAATTTCAAACCAAATAAATAGGAATATGTGATGAGAGTTATCACTGACCTATTTTTATTCTCTTCCTCCTGAGGCACACTTTTTCCTTCAATACAGAGATCTTCTCTTGGAGGCAGACTATAAGTGGATGAGCAAGGGCCAGAGGGAGAGCAGAGAAAGTAAGCTAAGGAAAAAACGCTTACCTCATCCACATGGGGATTAAGCAAGCTGCTGTCCACTCAGAGCAAACATTTAACCTCATGTTGTACATTCGCTGTAGTTTTGAAACAATACATATGAGATCTTCTCTCTGCCTCCCTGCCACACACATGACTGCAGGGGCCAGTGCGAACCAACTATTATATTAGGCTGAGCAGTCTGTCCTGAAGGTGAACATATGTAGTGAACCTGCAAAATTATTTTTGTGGCTTTTTGTTTGCTTGCCTGCTTGTTTATTTTTAACAAAATCTTTGGTCATAGCCTGATTTTATATGATTTACTTCCTTCCCCTAAAAGCTAAGGGTAGGGGGTAAATTTTGAAGAACTAAAGAATCTAAATACAGGGTAATTAAGGCCCTTGAATTTCACTAACTTATGGAACCCCCTCTTTCCCACTGTTTCACCTTCAGTAGCACAGTTAATCAAGAAGTGAATTTGGAAACAAAAGTCACCTCTGCCTATCAGGGACCCAAAGGACACAGGAGAAACACAAGACTCTGTTTCATGAACAAGCCAAGTAAAGTTACCACACTAACAGAAAACAGCCATCTTTCTAGTCACTGCCCATTTCTAAGATCACTCTTGAAAACAAGTAATTTCTCTAGGACTCAAATTGCTCTGGGGGTACAGTCTCCAACAAATGGACTTAGAAAAATTAAAACTATCTGATTTGCCACCAAAGGGATTTTAAATTGTTTTATTACAGGAAAAAGATATAGAGAAAATAGAACTCTCTCTCTTTTTCTCTCTCTTTCTCTCGTACACACACACACACACACACACACACACTCACACACACAATATCAATGTTGCCCCCATGCATGAAGGATCCGAGATTAACCAAGTCCCATTCCAACACCTGCTTGTTAACCAGACAAAGGACAACTTAGATTTGAATTACGCTACACCATCAAGGATAAAGGTCTCTGTAATCTCCACACGGACTATCTTCTGCACCTGCTAAAACAATCCATTCTGTATGTCAACAAGTACACAATAGGCCCATTGTATTGTTCTCCAGAGATGAGGCTATTGGCAGCCAGTTGTCACTAGTGAGTGGGTGTGGCTGGGAAGGCAGATGTGGGACCAGCAGGCCTTTCCACTCCAAGTAAGAGGAAACTTAGAGAGCCAGTGGCTAAGACTGTTGTTAACTACAACCTATAGTGTCTGTCTTTAATAGTTATGGTCAAAAATACCCCCTTAGGTTAATCTGATAACTGCAGTAAGCTAGAGATCTGTCTCTGACAGGAATAGGGTACATGAAGATTTGGTGGCAATTCCCAATACCAACCTGAAAAGTCAGGAGTATCCTAAATCACGAATTCATCTTAGTGGAAGACTGGATATGTCATCCATGAATATAAGCTAACTGTTTTTGAAATTCCCTAGCATTTTCCATTTATATCACTTCTTGGAATAATTATATCCATACACTTCTTAAAACAGAACTCTCTTTTGTCTTCAAGGTGCCAAGAGGCTTTCCCCCTTCCAGAAGGTTTAGAAGTTGCTTTTCTCCCTTTTGAATTTTTTAAACTCAACCATGTCCCCACTAAGTATTCATTTATGCCACCTGAAGAGATATCATTATTTTAGCCACCTTCTACCAACTTCTTGATTGGCCTCAGGCTCCCATAGCTGGGTAACATGACTGGACTTCCACATGTCCCATGGGCCACATGGTGGTACTGTCTAGCAGTAACCAGCAGTGCCAGGCTGGGCTGGTGTGTCATGTCCCATCCCCCAACCCTAGCATGCTAGTTCATTGGAGGGACAATGATAATGACACAGACTTCAATTGAGATGAAAAAAACTCCAGAGATTCATGAGTAGAGCTAGTAAGAAACCAGACAGATTCCATAGCAGGGCTCTGCCTCACAGACTAGGAGAACAGATTGGTGTTCTTTAAAATACTCTACCTCTAATTCTCCCTAATAGCTCAGTGCAATCAATCAGCCAACAAGTGCTGTGGGTCTAACAAATGAAGAACAAGAGAAAATAGGAGTTAATTTTGTTGGGAAAACATAACTAACATATGAAACAGCTAGAGAATAAGATAAGACCAATAATCAAGTGTTAGGAGGGTGATTCAGACCCTAAGGACTATAAGTGGTCAGAGAAGAGCTCTCTTGGGAAACTGATGGCTGCTTAAAACTGCTTCTACGGCAGCTGTTAAGGGTGGCTTTAAGAAAGAGCTCTGCTTGTAACAGCAGAAAGGGCCCAAGGTTAGAGCCCCACAATGGCCCTTGTCCCACATAATAGTAATAAGCCTTTACTATAAGTCTTCACTCATATGGACAGTTTTCTGTTCTCTTACATACTACCTACCTTTAAAGCATAGTAAACATGTAGAATCACCTATAAGGCTGGCTCAAGGGTCTTCTGATGACACTCAAGGGTCTGCTGATAGGGAAAAAGTTTCCTTGAACACTAAAAACATAATTTAAAATCAGCCTCCAGATTGACTGCTATGTGAAGGTCAGAGGAAGATGCATAAGCCTATTTTGCTCCAGTAGTAATGGGGAAAATTAACCAAACAGGGACATTTTCAATTATGAGGCAATGAGCCATCCTCTCACTGAGGAGGACCAAAATCTCTATCCAGGCAAACTTGTTAGGTAGTTGCTAAATCACAGTGATAATAGCAAATTTCACTTTCAATTATAACAAAAACAACAAATTTCAAGTATAACAAATAACAAATTTCAGTTATAATGTACTCCTGCTCAAAAACTTAGAACAAATCCCTGCTGCTTATTATATGAATCCCCAAACCCCACAGGCCAGTATTCTAAGGCCTTCCATTAACTGGCCTTATCTAATCATCATCATAAGGTTCTTGCCTTCTCATCACTCCATTCCAGAAATATCCCCCTAATTATCCTGAATTCACTAGCTTCTTGCTATTGCAAAAGGCATAAGGTGCCTCTTTTGTTCTTAAACACAATACCAGCTCAGGCATCTCTGAGGAAGAAGATTTAGGAGGTCTCTTCTCTCCCTCGATAAACATCTCAACTGATGTCAGCATGCTGGGGGACATCCCTGTTCTTTGGGCTCACTTTTCCCAAAATAGATCACTATACTAAATTAAGACTCATTCTCAAAAGATGGAAGGGGTGCCTGGGTGGCACAGTCCATTAAGCCTTCAACTCTTGGATTTCAGCTCAGGTCAGTATCTCAGGGTCCAGGGATCGAGCCCCACATGAGGCTCCATGCTCAGCATAGAGTCTGCTTGAGACTCTCTCTCTCTCTCTCTCTCTCTTTCGCCCTCTGCCTCTCCCACTTATACCCTCTCTTTCTCTAAAGTAAATAAAGTAAAAAAAAGAAAAAAAGATGGGAGATGCATTCAATAGAGACTGACAGTGTGAAACTTATTACCACAAAAGGTAGTAGAGGCTGAAAATATATAGATAAATTCTGAATGACAGAACTGCAAAGGAAGGAAA